GTAGATTTTTAACATACCATTCTCAATAACTGATAGAATGAGCAAACAAACAAAAAAATCAGTACTTCTCTAACAGACTGAACAATATGATTAACAAAAAATTTTACCTGACATATATAGAACATCATATCCAAGTAATTATATGATGTACTTTCTTTTCAAGGACACATGGACATCACCATTTCTTAAAACTGACCATCTGCTAAGCCACAAAGCAAGTCTCTAATTTCAGGGGTTAAAATTACACACAGTGTACCTCTGATGATAGAGGTGGAAACAGTAAAAACAAAAGTTCCAAAATGTTTGGAAATTAAGTACCTTAACTTCTAAATGACCCACAGGACAAGAGACTATCACTACAAATAACTGGAAAACACTGTGAACTGAATGTCAATGAAAGAACGTAACAAATCAAGCACAAAATACAATTGTTCAGAGAAAAATTTACTGCCTCCGATGCATATGTTACAAGAATACTATACGTATTTCTCATATTCTTTATTTCCTCCAAATACTGTGATACAACATAACATGTAACATATTTGCTTGTCTTTAAACTCAAGATTTTAAAAGGTTAAAAAAGGGGCGCCTGGGTGGCTCAGTTGGTTGGACGACTGCCTTCGGCTCAGGTCATGATCCTGGAGTCCCGGGATCGAGTCCCGCATCGGGCTCCCTGCTCGGCGGGGGGCCTGCTTCTCCCTCTAACCCTCCCCGCTCTCATGTACTCTCTCTCTCTCTCACTCTCACTCTCTCAAAATAAATAAATAAATCTTTAAAAAAAAAATAAAATAAAATAAAAGGTTAAAAAAAATGTTATCTGGACATAAGGGTAGAAGAAACAGAAAACTAGAGAATTAGAGCAACAATTTATTTTTCTATTTTCTTACAACTGTGATAAGCACTCCTCCAAGATTTTGCCTCGTACTTGTAAGTCTCCACTTATTACCTCTCTGTACATTCTTACATTGATATCAACCTACCAGAAATGCAGCTCCAGTCAATGACAATCTCATGAGAAAGAAATATGAATATGCCAGAAATAACCAATATAAAGTAGGATTTGAATTTTAAACACATTAGTTATTATACATTCCAGTAATGATGTATATTATTAATTTAAAATGGAAATACATCACATCAAAGAACCGTGTTTCACGAGTTTAGTATTACTAAAAACAGAACAATTATGGAAATAATTTAGTAGTACTCACCTATCAAAGTCTGACAGCTTATTCGGGTTACACCACTATTTACAGGGAAGTCATTTACATATACCTGTCCACTCTCATAGGTTATGTTAAGAACAACCTTAAAATAAAGCAGCATATACATTAATTCCAATGGTTTATAAATGATGACAAATTCTTCATGTCAAAAATACATTATCTAACTAAATTAGATGTGCAGGGAAAAATAACATAGGCTGCCTACTACTTAGCTAAGTGATATATTAAAACATAATCAAAAGGAGACAAACCTGTTCTTTAGATACTTCCCCATCACCTTTCAGGGTAGTTACATTAATTCTGATGCTGTCCTGCAAAACATATATCAAGTGGATAGGTAACGCATTTCACAAAGTAAAAACAGCTCAGTTCTTTTTCTTTTCCCCTCAACTATATTTATTGTATAACTGCTTAGAACACCTAAAGAACATTTTTTTAAAAGCCAGCATTTTTATTTTTACAGCCTTTTTTATGTCCTTACTCACAATTCCAACTTTTCATAATCTGTATTTCTTCCACTTAATTATGAAATATGTCACATTTTCGAGCATATAATATGCAAATGTAGAATTTAAAAAAAAATAACACTCATGTACCTACTACCTAGGTTAAAAACTCGAGTATCGTCTACACCTCAGAAGTCCCGGGCATGACCCTCTCTGTCCTGTTCCCCTCCCTCCCCTCAAAGGAATCCCTATATTGTCTTCCACGTTAATCATTTCTTGCTTTTCTTTATAGTTTTACCGTGCTTGTCTCTCGCTAAACAATATGTTTAGTTGTATCTGTTTCTAAGCTTTATTTACAGTGCTGTATAAAAGCCCATCAAATGATTACCAATTTACTTATGTGTTACACTATCAATGGACATTTGAGTTGTTTCCAACTTTTTTGTTTTCATAAACAAAACTGCTCTAACCCTTCTGCTTCTTTTTTTTTTTTTTTTAATTTTTCTATTTCTTCCTAGTAACCTCTACACCCAGTGTAAGGCTCGAACTCAAGAGCTGCATGTTCCTCCAGTTGAGCCAGCCAGGCATCCCTGCTCTAACCCTTCTTCTTCTTTTTTTTTTTTTTTAAAGATTTTATTTATTTATTTGAGAGAGAGAGAGAGAGAAACAGCATGAGAGGGGAGAAGGTCAGAGGGAGAAGCAGGCTCCCCGCTGAGCCGGGAGCCTGATGTGGGACTCGATCCCAGGACTCCGGGATCATGACCCGAGCCGAAGGCAGTCGCTTAACCAACTGAGCCACCCAGGCGCCCTCTAACCCTTCTTCTTAAATATGTCCCGTAGTGTCTGTGGACAAGTATGTACTATGCACAATCCGTTTTAGTGCTTCTCAAGGTATGCTCAAAAGCAGTTACTCAAATATTTAAGTTTATTAATGACCTGCTTCTAAAGAGAAGAAAGCACAATTTTAAGAAGTATTCACCAATACTCACAGGAATTACAATTTGTCATTTGTAAAGCAAATCCTTCCCTAACTTTATTCACAGTTAGACACTGTTATCCTAGAATAAAAAAAATATTTTTTTCCTGGGGGGTATTCTTAACTTAGAAAATAGGAAAATTATTCATAATCAAAATAATATACAAGTGTATCTCTTGGCACCGTGACTATCTCTAATACTTTATATATTTCCAACAAATGAGAGAATAAGACTGAAGTGATTTTATGAGGCTGAAGTGATTCTACTCAAGGAACAGGACCCTAAGCATGGAAAGCCTATACCATACATTTGGGACACTTGCCAACTTGCACGGGGGCCTATGAAGCTTCAGAATCAGCCTGGTCCATCCTGATTTAGAACTAAGCATGGGCTAGAACCAATACACTCATCTCTAGAACAAACCAACATTCAGTAAGTCATCAAACTGGTGGTTACATTTTTTTGTGTTCTAATTCCAGCCAAGAATTCCTCTTCTCAAACTAGAGGATCTGTTAACTATACACTCTATTGTTCTTCTAACAGCCAGAGATAACCCTCCAATGATCGTATTCTAAGAAACCTTTCCATAGCTTCTGCCTTTCAGTAGTATTACTGTTAGTAATTTACTGCACTTACATATATCACTTGCCTAGTAAAATCTGGGGTTTGTAAAAGACAATTAACAGATACCATCCTGCTGTATTCTGCAGGAACCAAATTCAATTAAATTTTTTGCTCTTTCAAAATGATTTCATTTCAGAGGAGACCCTAATCCCTTACTGCCTCCTGGGCCCAAGTTCAGAGATAGGTCATATTTCTTGCTCTTCCTGAGAACCTCCAACTGAACTGGAAGTTCAAGCTTGTGAGCCAGGACGACGGATACTTAAAGAGTGGGTGGCAGAACTGAAGTTTCTACCCACCCATTTTCAATTCTTCCTCTAACTCCTTCACTCACAAGATGCCCAGCTGGTTCACATGGCTTCCTAAGGACAAAGGTAATAGATACCGCATTTAAAATAAATGAATTAAGTCTCAGGGAAATATATGAAATAAATATTTACACATATAATATGTGTCCTCTGGATGCCTCTCTTTGGTGACCAAGTTATTTTAATATTAGAAGAATGTACTATAAAAATTTGCATTATTTTACAATCTGGGTAACCTTGCCTTCTAACAACTGCACATGTAAACAAAACAGAAAAATGTCTATAATCCAGTAGATCTGCATCACTGAGAGAATTTTCCTGACTTTAGTTTTCTTACATTCAGATCAGGTTAGATACAAAAATGAACAGATGAACAGATATGTGATAAAGCATAAAGAAAGTACAGTAAAATATTAATGGTGGTCTAAGTTTGCACTATTCAATATGGTATCCAATAACCACATGTGGTTATTTACATTTAAATTAAGTAAAGTTAAATAAATAAAAGTTTAAAAACTCAGTTCCTCAGTCTCCCTAGTCAGCCACATTTCAAGCACTCACCAACCACGGTAGTCCAGTGGCTATCGTAATGGACAGAGCAGACAAACACCATCACTACACCAAAGTCTACTAGATGGCACTCATCTAACGTGGTGACCGCCATAACATTCTTTCAAATGTTCTGTACATTTGAAAATTTTCAAAATAGGGGTGCTTGGGTGGCTCAGTCAGTTAAGTGTCCAACTGCTGATCTCCGCTAAGGTCTTGATCTCAGGGTCTTGAGTTCAAGTCCCGCATTGGGGCTTAAACATTAAAAAAAAGGAAAAGAAAGGACAATTTTAAAAATAAAACACTGAACAATTTAGATCAAGAGGCTTCAGCTTCCCATATAAACATTTCCAAGGAATGAGAGTCTCCCTCTCCCTGCTCAGCATTCTTTCATCTGTGAAATTCTGAGTTTAGATCTGGACTTTCCAAAAGTGGAAGGAGGGCATAAAAAGGGAGAACTGAAATGATGAGCTCACTAAGCTGGCAGTATACTTTCAGCTTGCAGTCAAAATGCATTTTTCTCAGACTATAGGACAGACTTAAGAATCCTTGGATTCACAAGTGATTATGATGAATCTTTAAAATTTGGAAAACAAGGGAGTTCCAGAACTTTAAGAATCATTTCATTTTTATTTGGTCTCTTGGCGCTCACCAATCACATTCATATTTTTGACCAGTTGCACTGTGGTCCATACACAATTTCAGATACAAGTGGTTCTTATGGCTTGCATTGTTGTGCCTTCTTGAAATGTCCCAGCAGAATTAAAGTGAGATATTCTCGTTATTTTTGTTCTCAGAGAGAGTAATGTCATTAAAAGTAAAAAAAATAAAAAAGTTTTTTTAAGTGATATTTATGGTGTAAGTCACCCCTGAATTTAGAGTATTCAAGTCTTGACCAGTAAGAAAAAGTATACTTATATTGTTTCTTTTCATTCTGGGAAAACTCCTCTTTTAAAATCTTCAAACTTTTCCCAACCATACATTCAATCGATGAACGGCAAATACTGGTTTAGTTAAGCATGACTCCCCGGCAAAAGCGAGAAGGACCAAACACCCTCTAGTACAAGGGCTCAGTGGTTATCCAACTTTAGCTAGCTTCAGAATCACCTGGAGGGCTTGCTGACACAAATTATTGGGCCCCACCCCCAGGGCATCGGATCTGTGCGTTTCCAGCCGGTTCCCAGTGGATGCTGGCGAGGCTGGTCCCGCCACGCTTAAAGATCCACTCTTCCTAACATCCACCAAAGAAAGGGACGACGTCAGCGTTAAGTGTCGGGTCTCCAGCCCTTCTCCTTCTCCCGCCCCGACGACCCGGCGTTGGCGCACCTCCGAGCCCTGCACGCTGGGGGGAAGGCAGTGCTTCCCGCCGCCGCGGGAGCAGACAGGTGGCCTGGAATCGCTCTTGTTCTTCACCCAGCCACTTCCACATTTCCCGAACACTGCCTGGCCCCAGTGCCGGCTCTACCCCAGGAAGGCGCCATTACAAAAGGCTGAGAGCACTTGTGATCGCGTACTTTCGACGGCAAAACCCCCTCCGGCTGGCGACAGTTGGGACTGCCGTAAGAATCCCTAAGTTTCGCTGCACTAGGCTTAACCACACATTCAGTAACCCTTTTCGCTCTCTCGCCGCCTTCTCCCAGGCTGCCCCCATTTCCTTGGATGCTTCGCCCCACTCCTCTCTTGGGCACCCGGACCCCGCCCCTGGCCCGCCGGCCGGTGGCAAGAAGCGTCGATGCGGACGCCAAAGTCCCACGGCTCCGGCCCGGGCCTCCCCGGAGGGTCCGTGCGAAGGAGCGGCCGAGTCGCGCCCGCCTTGCCCTACCTTCGGGGCTTGGGGCGGCAATGGCAGCTCATTGGTAACCGTCATCAGCCACCCGGCGGCCGGCAGCGCTGCGAGCAGGAGCAGCCGGAGGGCAAACGGCGCCGGTGGAGAGCCCTCCATTTTGGACAGGCCAGCGGCGGCAGACAGCCGAGAGCTGAAAGCCGAGCCAGCCCGAGGGGCGGGGTCAGGGGCGGGGCGAGGGTACCGAGGGGTGGGACCCTGGGGGACGGGGCGGGGCGGAGGCGAGACGGGCCCGGGAAGGAGCCGGTGGCAGCGGAGGGCTGGGGCTCCGGGGAAAGCGGGTTGCGCATGCGCGCCGCGGCGAAATGTCGGGGGGCGGAGTCAAGCTGGGGAAGGTCCGAATTGGTCATTAGACTGGCGGTCCGGATTGGAGAGAAGTACCGACCTGAAGGAGTGAAAATGTTTTCATTGACATTATTTTTTAAAATTAGAATATACACTAACGAGACTAGTATGTATACGTATGCACATAGCTATATCTATGTGTACACATATTTTATATATGTATAAAATGAAAATAATGGTAATATCGCCGAAAGCTATACATTATAAACAATATGTCACGTTTAGAGGGGGAATTTCATTAAATCGGTAGTTCTCACCCATGACTGCGCATGGGAATTGCCTGAGCAGTTTTAAAAATTACTGACTCTGGGGTTCTTACCGGACACCCGAAGTGCCTGATTTAGTCTGGGCTGCTGTTCTGGCATCGATGGTTCCCCAAGTGATTTACTGTGCCAGGGTTGAGGATCAACCACGCATCAAATGTTCAACATTCAGCGGATCACTGTGAGACGCCATGGGAACAACAGTCAACAGAAAACCACTCCACCTGGGCTCTGGGGCTCTTCTAGTCAGTTCATTAATCTACAAAATGAAGATGGCAGACTTTTCTTACCCCTTTCATATTTAAAAATATATATATTTTATGAAACTATCTAAAGCAAAGAATGCCAAGAAATTCAGGCATTTCAGATTAATAGGATTGAATGTTGATTGAGAACTTGGAGACATTGCCATTCAAGGCAGAATAAGAAACATTTAACCTTTTTTTAAAATAAAACTTTGGACATGGAAAGAACACAGGTCTCTCTCTTAGCCCTTCTTTATCAACCCCTCTCCCCGTGGATGCTTTTCTAGCTAGGGTAATTACAAAATATTTGTAGGGTATACTACAAAATCATTCAACTAACTCCTTGCCTACTGTGAGATATGCAACAACATTATTAACTTGCAAGTGGTTTCTGCAGTGAAGTCCCACTCACTCTTGGGTTCCAACTACAACCACCTGGTTTTTCACTCCATTTCAGACTTCTGGGATTAAAAACGAATCTGGAGATCAGAACACATGACATGTGGATCTGCATAATTTGAATTAGTAATATATGTATAAGATTTTAAAGTACATTTATATGAAAAAGTAGACAGGGAAAGTGAAGTAGCCTGTTTCCCAACAGATCCCTCCCCATAGTCTGACTATCCATTATCCTTCCACTTGTTTTGTCTCCATAGCTAGCTCTGAGCTTCAGGAAGGCTGTGGACAAAAACCAGTAAAGAAGCTTGCTAGAGTTGGAGTTTGTTGGAAGTTTTGGAACACACCAACAGGCAATTCTCTGCCACACCAACTAAGTGTCCTACAATTTAATTCAATTCTGATATTATCTACCTAGAGATTGCATCAGATCCCACAGGATAAGGGCTCAGTCCCCGGAGACAGCCCCCGCCTACTCTCACCCACACACACTTCAGATGCCAATTGCAAGCCCAGGTTATTACCTGTGCTTTTGACCAGTCAGCTACAGAGCAGAGGTTCCAATGACCCCCTCCTTGGATTGGATTAATTTGCTAGAGCGACTCATAGAACTCAAGGAAACACTTACTTATATTTGCCAGTTTGTTAAAGGATATAGTAAAAGAACAGCCAGATGGAAAGAGATGCATAGGGTAAGGTATGTGGGAAGGGGCAGAGCTTCCATGCCCTCCCCAGGCACACCATATTCCTAGCACCTCCCCCTGTTCACCAACCTTGAAGCTCTCTGAACGCTGTATTTATGGGATTTTAAAGGAGGCATCATTAATCATTAACTCCATTTTCAGCCCTTGTCCCATTTCAAGGGTATGAGGGGCAGGGCTGAAAATCCTAAGCTTCTAGTCACATCTTGGTCTTTCCCATGACCAGCCCTCATCCAGGAGCCAGCCAGAAGCCCACCCAGAGTTACCACAAAAGACACGCTTATCACCCAGGAAATCACAAGGGTTTCAGAAGCTCTGTGTCAGAGACAGAGTCAAAGAGCAATATTATGGGTGCCTGACTGGTTCAGTTGGTAGAGCATGTGACTCTCAATCTTGGGGTTGTGAGTTCAAGCCCCATATTGGGCCTAGAACTTACTTTAAAAAAAAAAACAAAAAGAGGGGGCGCCTGGGTGGCTCAGTCGGTTAAGTGTCTGCCTTTGGCTCAGGTCATCATCCCAGGGTCCTGGGATGGAGCCCGTTGGGCTCTCTGCTCGGCGGGAAGCCTGCTTCTCCCTCTCCCACTCCCCCTGCTTATGTTCCCTCTCTAGTCGTGTCTCTCTCTGTCAAATAAATAAAATCTTTAAAAAATAAATAAATAAAATAAAAATTAAAAAGAGAGAGAGAGAGACCAATCTTAGAACAAGAGATCCTCCTAGTGTTCTTATCTCTTAGGAAATTACAGGGTTTCAGGAGCTCCATGCTAGGAGCTGGGGGCAGGGACCAATATATATTTTCTATTAATTCACAGCATGTCTTTTATATACAAAACAACCAATCCAGAGCCCATATTCTGAATTCCTTCCTCCACGAGGCTTTTACAGTCTGGGAGGCAATATTCCTCTGTCCTAATCATCCCAGGACCAGGTACCAGACAACTAGAGACAGCCTATAATATACCCCAGAGCCCACTGATATTATTCAAACTAGCCAGTTCTAAGCCTGTTTATCCTACCTTGTCTCACCTTCCCCCCATGGAAACCACAATAAGGATTCCTGCCTATAGTTTCCTCTTGGCTCCTTCCACCTCCTGACCAACCCTGATACTTTTCTATTTGGCCCTTCATGGCATGTTGTGCCCCCCCACCCCACCCATTTGGGAACTGTGAGTAACAAACTATCTTTTCAGTGGCAATCATCTCCTGACCTGTTGGCTTCACCATACATGAATAATAATAAAACCTACATTTTAAAACACCATACTAATATCTACTGAAAATGTCAATGCTAAAATAATCACAACAAAGAAAAGGCAGTTGAAGTTCTTTTTTTTTTTTAAGATTTTATTTATTTATTTGAGAAAGAGAGAATGAGAGACAGAAAGCACGAGAGGGAAGAGGGTCAGAGTTGGAGAAGCAGACTCACCACTGAGTGGGGAGCCCGATGTGGGACCCGATTCCGGAACTCCAGGATCATGACCTGAGCCGAAGCCAGTCGCTCAACCAACTGAGCCACCCAGGCGCCCAAGGCGGTTGAAGTTCTTGACAAGGCAGATGAAGAAGCTGGTAAAGATTGCTTCTAAAGAGGGCAAAATGTCCTGCTTTCTAGCCAGCCAGAAATGTTCTCTAGCCCCTGGACTGTCACTGTCCCAGATATCTTACTATAAATGTTATGACAACAGTGACCACGATGAATCTCAGTTCACCAAACTGAGATTCCTCTGGGTGTGAGGAGAAAAAGCAGGAAAAGGAACAGATAAAGAAAATCATGCTGGGCTTGTCAAGCACATGAATGCTTCTGCACCATATTTGATCATAAATATGTGTTTTTGTTGTTCATACATTTAGTCATTTAAAATCAGGATTTTACTTTTGGCAATTTTAGTAAGGCTACAGACATTTGAATGTGATTGTTCAGATTAGTATATGAAATGATGTCAACAGAGAAATTGGTCATACTGGTTGGTGATGTTGATATTCGGAAGGCAATACAAATTTACTAATCTTTTCTCTAGACTAAATCTACTTCAGTAGTTACATTTGGTAGAATTGTGAAGGTTGTATCTCATTTCTTTTTACCTATATATCTACTATATAAACCACTTAAGTATTTATACCATTAGAATTCAAAGTGTAATACGATGCTGACAAGCATAAACTATATAACATCATGAAATAATAGTTTTCCCATGAAGGTAGAATATTTGATAGTTAGTGATATATCAGTGTGTATATATATTTAGTACAGCATAATTTAAAGATATAGCAAATTACACACTGAAGAATAAATAAGGTATTCTATCTTGGGCTTAAGATATCACACCTGGGCCTCGAGTCTGCAAAAGAGTCTGGCCATATCATTTATGGTGATTAGTGTATCAATTTATATGTTAAATCATTCCTCATATTTATTATGTCAATTTCTAATTTTGTTTGAATAGTCCAAATTTGTCTTAAAAATTATTTAACTTTTCCAAATCCTCTCTTTTTCTTGATCTATTTCTTTTAAGCATACACAGAAATTTTTTTTTCTATTTAAATTCAATTAATTGGGGCGCCTGGGTGGCTCAGTCGGTTAAGCTTCTGCCTTGGGCTCAGGTCATGATCCCAGGGTCCTGGGATCAAGCCCTGTATCATTAGGCTCCCTGCTCAGAGGGGAGCCTGCTTCTCCCTCTCCCTTTGCCTCTTCCCCAGCTTGAGCTTCCTCACTTGCTCTTTGTCAAATAAATAAATAAAATCTTAAAAAAATAAATAAATTCAAGTAACATTAGTGTATTATTAGTTTCAGAGGTAGAGTTCAGTGATTCATCAGTCTTATATAATATCCAGTGCTTATTACATCACATGCCCTCCTTAATGTCCATGACCCAGTTACCCCATCCTCCCACCCCACCCCCGCCAGCAACTCTGTTTGCTTTCTATGATTAAGAGTCTCTCATGGTTTGTCTCTGTCTCTGATTTCATCTTGTTTTATTTTCCCTCCCTTCTGCTATGATCCTCTGTTTTGTTTCTTAAATTCCACATTATCAGTGAGATCATATGATAATTGTTTTTCTCTGATTGACCTATTTTGCTTAGCATAATACCCTCTAGTTGCATCCACGTTGTTGCAAGCAACAAGATCATTTTTCCGTGAGGGCTGAGTAATATTCCATTATAAATGTGTATACACACAAACACACACACACCTCCCACATCTTCTTTATCCATTCATCTGGGCTCTTTCCATAGTTTGGCTATTGTGGACATAGCTGCTATAAACATTGGGGTGCAGGTGCCCCTTCCAATCACTACATTTGCATACATAGAATTTTACCAAATATTATCCTGTAATTTCTAGTCTTACTATTAAAATTATATTGGGAAAAGATTAGTATATGTGCTGCCTAAGTGAGCACTATATTGGGAAAAGATTAGATGAGTTTCATACAGTGCCCAAAATAGCTGTACCACTTTATATTCCCATCAACAATCCCATTGTTACTTTAATTTGTATTTCTTTAATTAATTGCCAATATCCATTAATTCACTCAACTAATATATATTCACCCATTATGTGGCAGGTTGTTATAGGCACTAGGGATACAGCAATAAACAAAACTGGCAAGATTGGCTATAGCCTTCTAGAGCTTATATTTTAGTAATATAAAAATAATTTATATTTATCATAAACAAATTCATAAATAGCGTGTTAGATAATAAAGAGAGCCATGGGGAAAAAGCTTTATGGAGAAAAACGAAAGTGTATGTATGTGGGTTTAATTTTAATTATGGTAGTCAGGGAAAGCTTCACTGAGAGGTGACAAGTGAGCAAGAGCCCTAAAGGAGAGCCATGAAAATATCTGGAGGAAGAGGGTTGTAACCGGAGTGGGCAGCCAGCCCAAAGGCCCAGAGGCAGAAGTGCGGCCAACAGTGTTCAAAGAATAGCAAAAGTCTAGTGTGGCTTCAAAGTAAGAGAGAAAACAGGTAGATACGGCAGCAGAGAGAGTATCACGTAAGGCCTTGCAGACCATTATAAAAACGTTGGCTTTTGGTGAGATGTGAAGTAACTGGAAGCTGTAAATTGTACAAAATGGTATAAGAGTGACTGATCTGTTTGGTCAGATTTAGGGGGATAAACTGCATGAAAACCCTCAACAGAGGCCAAAAATCGTTTTATAAGTCTTCAAATTGAAATATTATTGATAAACCAGTAAAGATTTGGGGCTGAAGCCTACTGTCTTTTAGCTTGTTGCACTAAGGACCTGTCACTGCTAGCAGAGCTTCTGTCCTAGGCAGGATTAGCCAGGGAAGAACTCCTTGTTCACCTTTCTGGGTAACAAACTGTACATTTGAGGCCTAAAGGTTTTGACTCAGGACGACGAAAAACACTGATTAGGAAATCCAGAGTAGTCGTCCCAAGAACGTGGGAGAAGCTGGTGCCGTGGTCGCTCTCGATGCTCCCCGAGGAGCAGAGAAGAAAGGGCTGCTCGAAGGTCCGCCCTGTTCTTGAGGACACAAAAGGGACACAAAACCCTTTACAAAAGTCCTTTTGAGCGACGGGCTCCCGCGCCAGTCGCCCAAGAAGAACCAGGATTTTCAAAAAAGGCCGCGTCGGAGGCGGGGGGGGGCGGGGGGGGGGGGGGGGTGGTGGTGGTGGTGTAGGCGCTGACCAGGCGGGCCGCGACGGGAGGGGCGTCGCCGAAGGGATGACGTAAAAAGGCGTCGCGCCGAGAGTGACGCGTGGCGTAGATTACGACGGGCTGCGCCTGTCACACCCGCGGCTTGTTGCGGAGGAGGAGCGGGCGCCATGGCGGTTCTGCTGGAGACCACTTTGGGCGACGTCGTCATCGATCTGTACACTGAGGAGCGGCCGCGCGGTGAGAACCGGGCCCCGCTCACGTCTCGCCAGGGCCACGATCTCCTTTCCCCACTGTCCCTTCGCTGCCCGGTCCCCTTGACTGGGTTCGAGCTTCTGGGCTGCTGGTGCCCACGACTGGGCTGTTTTATTAGCGGGCCGTGATTCGAAAAGTTTTTGTGAGGAGCAGCCTCTCTCCTGTATCTGGGGCTGACCAATCGGGTGGCGGGTGCTTGTGGCATTAAATGCCTGTGGGTGTGTGTGTGTGTGTGTGTGTGGTGCAGGCTGCATATACCATACCCATAGCTTTTGTGGCTTTACTGCGCTTTACTCGTGAGAGGAACACAGTTTGTATTCCTTGGTGTGTAATCAGTAAGTCCTCATGGAAGCGGGAAGGATGTGTTTGGAGCAGTGAGTGTGAGCATCCCGCCTGGGTGGAGGAAGGGCTGTCCAGAGATGTGCACGGAGCCCTAGCAAACACTCACTTATCGCCTGCTGTGCGAGACTGCCAAGCTCTGGGATAGGCGTCTTGTCCTTGAGGGTCTCATTTTCCACTGGGAGAAATAGACGTGGGAGCCCCTTTAAGTGTTGTAGGTCTTACAACCCATTGTAAGTGGTGTAGTTGAAGAATGTGTAAGTTGCTATGGAAACCAGTGGAGGGAGTAATTCTTCCCGGTTGGGGGCGGGGAGAAGCGAAGCAAGCCAAGACAGTAGATCACTTGAACTAGCTCTTTCAAAGATGAGTGGGAATGAGGGTTTGTTTTTTTTTTTCTTTTTTTGCTTGGAATTTTCTGGAAACAGCAAGTAGTTTGGCATGGCTTGAAGGAATGATACGTGTCGTGGAATGGCAGACTACGAGTCTGGTCTTATAGGTTATATTGGTTAGATCAGATGTGAATAGTCTTGTGTGCTCTACTGATGGCTAGGGTCTTTGAAGGTTTTAAAAGCAGGATTGAGGCATGGCAAATTTGTTTTAGGAAGATAACAGGCAACAGTGTGGAGACTGTATCAGAATTGGGAGAAACTAGAGGCCACAGAGATTAGTTACAGTCAGGATCCTGTCCCCTTGGAATGCAGAGTCTATCAAAGAGGATGAAACAGTACATACAGTAAGTGTCTTTCTGCCATATTACACTCTGTCTCACACTGAGTTGTCCCCCCCAACACTGCATGCTTAATCATACATCCATACCTTTCTTATACTGTTGCCTCTACTCCAATGTTTCTCTCTACTGTTGTCCTTGTGGTAAACTTCCTGCTTATTATTCAAACCTTGGATCAAGCATGATTTCTTCTGTGAAGCTCTCCCTTGTCCCTAAGAGGAATTAGATCTGTTTCTTCTGCTCTGAGATCTTTTTAAACAGCATGTGACACATTTTGTTACATCGTTTACCTGTTGTCCTGGAATTGTTTGCAAAGGCTTAGTCGCCTTCCTTGTCCGTCCTAAGCACCTGGTACAATGCCTGCCACTTTGCACACACTAAAGGCTCATTACAGTGACTAATGTATATATATATACATTATGTATAATGTATATATACGTGTTTATTAGGATTCTCAGTGCAGATGATAGAAACTCAAACTGGCTTAAAGAAAATATTTGAGGGTCCCTGGGTGGCTCAGTTGGTTAAGCGACTGCTTTCGGCTCAGGTCATGATCCTGGAGTCTCAGGATCGAGTCCTGCATCAGGCTCCCTGCTCAGCAGGGAGTCTGCTTCTCCCTCTGACCCTTCCCCCTCTCATGTGCTCTCTCTCTCTCTCTCATTCTCTCTCTCAAATAAATAAATAAATAAAATCTTTAAAAAAAAAAAGAAAATAATTGATTGCCTCCTGTTACTGAGGTAAGCTTGGCTTTAAGGATAGTGGGATCCAGAAATTCAAAGGATGTTATAGGGAATTGTATTTTTCATCTCTTGGTTTTGCTTTCCTTTGAATTTGTTTGACACTCTCTTCATGTGGGACAGCACCTTGCAAATGAATGGGCCCCTTTCCCCAGGGTTGTGAAGAACTAAAGGGGAGGTTGGGTTATCCTACCTAGTTAACACAGACAGAATAGACAAATAGCGATTCTGCAAAGATAGTTTGGAAGACTAAAAACATAAACCCACCCCATTTGTATGTATTTGTAAGCCTGTGATCAGATATTTACTTACATATATAACTACTTATCGCTTTATAGTAAATATATCCAGACTTAGTTTTCTTCCTCTTTCCCTCCCCCTCTCCCTTCCATTTCTTTCCTTTTTTTACTTTTTATTATAGAAAACTTATATGCAGAAGGAGAGTCATGAAAATGAGCCCTCATGTGCCAATGACCAGTTAACGAACGGTTGTCAACACATAACCAATATCATTTCATTTATACTGGATTTTTTGTAATAAATTCATTACATGGGACTTATTTAATCTGCAGTTTACTTCAATTTGTATTTCTAAAAAGTGATTAAAAAAATAACCACATATCATCACATCTGAAAAAATTGGCAGTAATTTTTTGGTATCATTCATATTTTCCTTTTGTCTCGTAAGTGTTTTAAAAATATTTGGTAATTTAAGGATGCAAACAAGGTTCATTATATTGGCTGATATAGCTCTTAAATATAGCTTCTCCCCCTTGCCTTATTTATTTATTTAAAATTTTATTTATTTATTTATTTGACAGAGACACAGCAAAAGAGGGAACACAAGCAGGGGGAGTGGGAGAGGGAAAAGCAGGCTTCCTGCTGAGCAGGGAGCCTGATGCGATGGGGGGCTCCATCCCAGGGCCCTGGGATCATGACCTGAGCCCAAGGCAGAAGCTTAATGACTGAGCCACCCAGGAGCCCCTCCCCTTGCCTTTTTTAAAAAAAATTTTGTTTATTTGAATTTAGGTGACACATAATGTCACATTAGTTTCAGGTGCAAGATAGTGATTCACCTTCTCTATACATTATGCTATGTTCACAACCCCCCCTGCCTATTTTTAAAGACTTTAGTTTTTTAGAGCAATTTAAGGTTCATAGCAAAACTGAGGGGAAGATGTATAGAGAGATTTCCCGTAGACCCCTATCGCCGCGAATGTGCAGCCTCTCCCATTTTCAGTATTCCCCACCAGAGTCTACCTTTGTTGTATATCTGTACCATTTGTACTATGTAACACTGTACACTTGTTATTACAGTGGTACATTTGATGAACCTACATCGATAGCTCATAATCCATAGTTTACACTGAGGTACACTCTTGGTATTGTACATTCTGTGGGTTTGGACAAATGTATAATACATAAATCCACCATTACAGTATCATACAGAAAAATCCTGGTGTATCTGTTATAGTGTCCCCATTAGCTTTTCATCTAAAGATCACTACCTAGATCCATTATTTTTGTTTTCTAGTTAAAGGACTACTCTTTTATATTTAACAGTAATCCCAGAAATGTATTTTTCTAGGAAAACAATCAAAATCCTGATATTCAAGACCTTTCAATGCCTTGGCTGCATCTTACCCCTCTGGTCTATTTACCCTCTATTACTTTGTATTACCAGAGTGTTACAGAGCTTAGACTGGTCTTTTGGACCCTTCAAAAAACATTTATATTTGCACATCCAGACTTATTCATACTGTCTTCCCAGTTTGAAATGCTTACTCTCTACTCTTTGCCTGTCTAGTTCTTGTATTTTTTTTTTAAGATTTTATTTATTTATTTGACAGAGACATAGCGAGAGAGGAACACAAGCAGGGGGAGTGGGAGAGAGAGAAGCAGGCTTCCCGCAGAGCAGGGAGCCCGATGCAGGTCTCGATTCCAGGACCCTGGGATCATGACTCGAGCCGAAGGCAGACGCTTAACAACTGAGCCACCCAGGCGCCCCTGTCTAGTTCTTGTAATGCCCACCTTAAGCCTCTATGAGGTCTTGTAATTTCCCTGGCCAGAAACAATCTCCCTTTTGAACTTTGTGGCTTTTTTAAAACCACTTTTTACCATTTTACTGTATAGGTGGCACAGATGGTATTATTAGATATATCCAGTATTGTAATTATTTTGCTCGGATGTAAGGACCCTGGACAGCCTCATAGTTCTTTCTGTCTGGTTTCTAGTTTAGTGTTCTGAGAGTTTGTCAGTGTACAACTAGACTATGAACTTGTTGAGGAGAGGGACTATGGTTTAATGGCATTTGTGATAGCAATGCCAAGCACCTAGAAGATACTCCATAAATATTTACTGAATAAATGAGTGTATTTATATGAGAAAGCTGGTACATGATAAGTATATGGATTTTTGTGAAGAGCTATTTAGTCATCATTAAAGAAATTGGTCTCAGATATTTGATTTTATCTAATTTATATAATTTGTACCCATTTTCAGATACTCTGATAGATTCTTTTCCACCATAGTATCCTCTTTGGGTTTTTTTTCTCTTGCAAAACTAATCCATTAGTTAATGGTTGCCTATCCCAAATAAGTGTCAGTTTCCTGCAGTAGCTCAGATGCCCAAGAAGTCCTAAGAAAAAGAGAATAAAAAGATAATTTAAAATATATTGCCTTTTTCTAGACTTACTGCCTTTTTTATGATTTAGGATATTTGACCATTGGGGGGTGTTTGTATGGTAATTTAGAAATGAAATTATGCCAACTAAGCATTTACTTGCTTAAAAATATTTTTGTGAACCACTATGATAAATTTAGTATTTACTTTTCTTTCAGCCTGCTTGAATTTCCTGAAGTTGTGCAAAATAAAGTATTACAATTATTGTCTTATTCACAATGTACAGGTGAGTTGGTGGATATAAGTCATGTCCTTTATTATTGGAATGATCTAGCAAACTCTGTGAATTAACAAAGTATCCTGTTTATTATAGAGGGATTTCATCATACAAACTGGTGATCCTACAGGGACTGGCCGTGGAGGAGAGTCTGTTTTTGGGTGAGTTCTTTTATTTTTAAGTGAGAAAAATAAAATTGCCTCTTAACAGTGTTACCTAACATATTTCAATCTGCATTTTAAAATACAATTCAAATACAGATTTTTTTTTCCAAGTTCCCTAAATGTCTATAGCAAAAAAAAAAAAGACTTTTGAATTATAGAGGCATTTCTATAAACGGTAATCCTATTTGTTACTAGTACTTTGTATTTCATGTTGAGAGTACTTATATTTTATAACTTTATTATATGTATTTTCAGTCAACTGTATGGTGATCAAGCAAGCTTTTTTGAGGCTGAAAAAGTACCAAGAATTAAGCACAAGAAGAAAGGCACTGTGTCCATGGTGAACAATGGCAGTGATCAACATGGATCTCAGGTTAGGAAATGAGTAAGAAGATGAGTTTTGTTTTATTTTTTTATTTTTATTTACTTTTTTTGTAGAGAACATTTTTTTAAAGATTTTATTTATTTATTTGAGAGAGCGAGAGCAGGGGGAGGGGGAGAGGGACAAGCAGACTCCCTGCTGAGCAGGGAGCCCGGTGCAAGGCTCAATCCCAGGACCCTGGGATCATGACGTGAGCTGAAGGCAGATGCTTAACTGACTGCACCACCCAGGTGCCCCAAGATGAGTTTTGTTTTAAAATGAAGGACTGGAAAGAGCCACAAGTTATCTTTTTAAGCTATCCAATAAGAAGAGATTTTCAAAGATAATTGTTAGAAGAAAAATATTATACTATATTTTTTTCTATATAAAAAAATTATTTTGGGGGGATGCCTGGCTGGCTCAGTCAGTAGAGCATGTGACTCCTCAGGGTTGTGAGTTTGAGCCCCATGTTGGGTGCAGAGGTTACTTAAAAAATAAAATATTAAAAAAATTACTTTGTTCTTTTTAAAAATTTATTTATTTATTTATTTATTTTTATTAGAGAGAGAGAGAAGGGGGGTCAGAGGGAGAGAGAGAAAATCTTAAGCAGACTCCACCCAAGCGCAGAGCCTGACACAGGGCTCAATCTCACAACCTTGACATCATGACCTGAGCTGAAATCAGGAGTCAGATGCTTAACCAACTGAGCCACCCAGTCACCCGTACTTTTTTCTTTTAAATGTAAGGCATGTCCAGTGTGAGGAGTTCAGAAGATACAAAAACGTATAACATTATCCACAATACTACTATCCATGGATCATCACTGTTCACATTGTGGTCTGTTTCCTTTTGGTATTTATTACTTCAAAACAGATCATGTTGAGACCCTTTCATTCATTGTCTGATCCTCACAACAACCCATTTTGGGGTAGATGCTTTTTTTCTCCTCACAATTCACATGTGAAGAAACTGAGCTTTGGTTTGCCCAAGTATTTTAAACAATCAGGGAAGCATCTGTATGTGTATTGATATTTTATGGATAAGCTTGTACTTTTTAATTAGTACTAGTAACAAGTGGGTAAGAATCCATGCAGTGAATGTAGAGTATTGCGTTTGTGTATTTTTGTCAGTCTGTAACTGATTTCAGTTTGAATTATAGATATACATTTATATTTTTCTGTGTCTTTCTATTCAGTTTCTTATTACTACAGGAGATAATCTAGATTACCTTGATGGTGTTCATACAGTGTTTGGTGAGGTGACAGAAGGCATGGACATAATTAAGAAAATTAATGAGACCTTTGTTGACAAGGATTTTGTACCATATCAAGATATCAGGTGTGGTTGCTATCTCAGTGTACTAGAATGTTTTAATACTGTGATGTTTGTGGAGATGGCAAGCATAGAACTGGTTTTTGGATAATTCCAAAATGTGAATTAATACGAGACTATACGAATCCATAAAGTAAAAAAGACCTTTTGTATTTTTATAGTTCTTTTTTTTTTTAAAGATTTTATTTATTTATTGAGAGAGAGAATGAGAGAGAGAGCACATGGGAGCGGGGAGGGTCAGAGGGAGAAGCAGACTCCCTGCTGAGCAGGGAGCCCAATGTGGGACTCAATCCCGGGACTCCAGGATCATGACCTGAGCCGAGGGCAGTCACTTAACCAACTGAGCCACCCAGGCGCCCTTGTATTTTTATACTTCTACTAATTATTTATAATTGCTTATGTTGGGAGGAATTATTTATTTTTTTATTTTTTTTAAAGATTTTATTTATTTATTGAGAGAGAGAATGAGAGAGAGAGCACATGAAAGCGGGGAGGGTCAGAGGGAGAAGCAGACTCCCTGCTGAGCAGGGAGCCCGATGTGGGACTCGATCCCGGGACTCCAGGATCATGACCTGAGCCAAAGGCAGTTGCTTAACCAACTGAGCCACCCAGGCACCCCTGTTGGGAGGAATTATTAATCCTTAATTTAGGTTTAGTTTGTTTTTTTTTTTAACGTTTTTATTTATTTATTTGACGGAGAGAGACACAGCGAAAGAGGGAACACAAGCAGGGGGGGAGTGGGAGAGGGAGCAGCAGGCTTCCCGCGGAGCAGGGAGCCCAGTGCGGGGCTCATTCCCAGGACCCTGGGATCATGACCCGAGCCGAGGGCAGATGCTTAACGACTGAGCCACCCAGGCACCCCTCCTTAATTTAGTTTTTAAAAAAATGCATATTATTGAGAAATTTGGCAAAAGTACTAAGATTTAGACATATTAATATTAGATATATTATTTTAGAGTAATGCAGAGTAGTAAATCTAATATCAAACAATGAAAAACAGTAACACTGTGAAAGTATACTCTCGTAATGTATACTTATGCATTAAAATTTAAGTGCCTATGATTTTTGGGCATTAGAGATACTTAAGACATTTGTTATAATCTTTATAAAAAGTAAAACATGAATTCTGAAATAATGTAAATGAAACCTTTGACTTGGATTTATTTTGTAAGGATAAATCATACAGTGATTTTAGATGATCCGTTTGATGACCCTCCTGATTTATTAATTCCTGATCGATCACCAGAACCTACGAGGGAACAGCTAGATGTAAGTAGAGTCCTCTTGTGATTGAATGTACATGCATATTAATGCTTTGCATAGATTTTGCTTTTTAGTTTATTAAAACATTTCTTCAGAATGACTATATCTTGCTTGATTAGTTCTACTAGGACAAGTTTAACCTTCTTTTTCTCTTCCACAGAGATACTCATTTTTCTAGCTATCTTTTGATTTCCCTAATTTCCTTTCTTCAATTTCTGTTCCACTAGAAGAGCCTTAGCTCTGGAAGCTTATGTGAATACCTTGCGAAAATGGTTTTCTTGTCTCCTAACTCTAGGAGTGTAGCTGTAAGGCTAGGGTAAACTATTATCTTGTAAGGGAGCTTTTCAACTGGGAACCCTCTGGAGCCATGCTAGAACCTAGAAATTTTTGTGCAATAATGTAGACTCTTCCTTCATATTTTTTAAGGTATAAGTTTCTGTTTATGAGGCTTTCTCAAAGCTGAATTGATCTTCATAGTTGGGATTTGGTGGTTAATTTTTAAGGTCATTTATTTTCTGCATTCAGGACTGAGTTGAATACCAGATAGTTTTGATTTAATAATAAATTAGAAGCTTAGTCTGGCTCATATTATCAAATTAATTTAAATCAATTTTCAGAGGCTTATAAGTTTCAGTTTTTATTCTAACACATTTGATGGAACCAAGGACAAAGCATCACATATCCCATATTTCTGAGATTTTTCAATTCTTTCACTATATGTTTAAGTAACTTCTGCCTTACAGAGTGGTCGAATAGGAGCAGATGAAGAAATTGATGATTTCAAAGGAAGATCAGCTGAAGAAGTAGAAGAAATAAAGGCAGAAAAAGAGGCTAAAACTCAGGCTATTCTATTAGAAATGGTAAGATGATTATTTTGTTCAGATAGTTGTTCTGCAATTTATTTAATATACAGCTTGTTGTGAGTTTATTTTTTGGTTCTTTCTTTTTCTTTTTTTTTTTTTTAGGTTGGGAGAGGGCGGGACGTGGGGGGGCGAGGGAGAGAGAGAATCTCAAGCAGGTTCCACACCCAGCACAGAGCCCAATGTGGGGCTCAATCCCACAACCCTGACATAATGACCTGAGCCGAAATTAAGAGTTGGATGCTCATCCAGCTGAGCCACCCAGGCACCCCTATTTTTGTCTCTTTGATAGTCAAAGTATTAAAAATTTAGCTAAGAGTTCTTTTCTGGATTAAATTTTATATGACATAATACATGAAAGTAAACAAATTTGGTTCCAAAATCAATATAGTGCTAAGTGCCTTTTTAAAAAATGAGGAGTGGATATACAATGTACAAATATTCATTGAATTTCAATTGTTTATCTTCATCTCATTTTTGAAGAGTGTTTATTGGATCGAATTTTATTTGTATTAAAGAACAATTCTTTGTTGAAAAGAATTGTTGTAAAGTGTTGAGGTTAGGTAGTTACAGGATATAAGGAACCTGGGTAGAAGTTGAGTACTGTAAAACATACTCGTTTGTATTACTAACAGTATGAAGTCATTTGGGGAACAGTTCTTTAGTACTGATTAATTGACCTACTAGACATTTTTTCCATTTGTTAATTTTTTGTGGAATAGGCATATCTGTCACATAGTAGATAATCAATAAATATTTGAATGGATAATTCAGTTTTTATTATTATCATTGTTTTATATAGTAGAGTTTTCAAATTCATCTTTTTCAAAATTCATATTTACATCACCAGTCTGGAGGAACAAATATTAAAGACTATAATTCAAGAAAACTTTACTGAATTAAAAAAAGTTTGAAAATCTACACTGTGTAGCTGAGACTATTGGCCCAGAACAACCAACAGCATGACAAATTCTAAGAAAGTTACTGAACTTAAAAATCTTTTTCTTTTTTAAGATTTATTTATTTATTTTAGAGAGAATGCAGTGGGGAGGGGCAGCGGGAGAGGGAGAGAGTGTAAAGCAGACTCTACCCTGAGTGGGGAGTCTGATGCGGGGCTCAGTCTCACAACCCTGAGATCATGACCTGAGCAGAAACCCAAGAGTCAAATGCTTAACCGACTGTTCCACCCAGGCACCCCAAAAGAAAAATCTTTTGAGCAACTGGGCAACAAAAATGACTTATAAGGGAAAGAATATTAGATTATCATCAGAGGTTTTTTGTTTGTTTTAGTTTTTAAAGATTTTATTTGTTTATTTGAGAGAGAGAGCACAAGCAGGGGGAGCGGCAGGCAGAGGGAGAAGCAGGCTCCCTGCTGAGCAAGGAGCCTGATGCAGGGCTTGATCCCAGGACCCTGGGATCATGACCTGAGCTGAAGGCAGACAACCGACTGAGCCATGTAGGCGTCCCTAAGATTTTATTTTATTTTATTTTACTTTTTTTAAAGATTTTATTTATTTATTCATGAAAGACAGAGAGAGAGAGGCAGAGGGAGAAGTAGGCTCCCAAGGAGCAGGGAGCCCGATGCGGGACTCGATCCCAGGACCCTGGGATCATGACCTGAGCCGAAGGCAGATGCTCAACCATCTGAGCCACCCAGGCGCCTGCTAAGATTTTATTTTTAAGTAATCTCTACACCCAGTGTAGGGCTCAAACTTAGAACTCCAAGATCAAGAATCACATGTCCCACTGACTGAGCCAGCCAGGTGCCCCCCTCATAGTATTTTAAAGTTACTTTTGACTAAGTAGTATAGCAAGTTCTTTTTTAACTCATTAACCTTTTTTTTCTTCTGTGCTTCCTTTAGATGTGGTATTTTAGGTGCTTTCCAGAATTTTTTCCTGATTTGCTCTTCCCCTTACATACTGTGGTATTGTTTATTAGACACAGATTATTGTCTTTTCTAAAAAAAAATTTTTTTTAAAGTAAGCTTTACGCCCAACATGGGACTTGAACTCACGGCCCTGAGATCAAGGGTTGCATGTTCTACTGACTGAGCCAGCCAGGCACCCTGGATTATTGTCTTTTGATAGGCTTCAGAAACACTGAACAGATCTTACTGGCTCTGTTCCTTATTACTGTTTCTGATTTAAAAAAAAGCTTTTTAAGTGTGTTTATCCAAGAGGAGACACTTTACATGATAATGTTATCAGAAATTATCTCTGAGAGTTTTTGAATATATGTATAAAGGAATATTGTTTTCCTATCTAAAGGTCCATGGGAAATACAGTTTTCCCACAATGAAACCAATTCCATCATCATGTTTTTCTCCCAGAGTCACCCTCACTGGTTCTTCAGTAGGAAGTGGGATTTCCTGCTCAGTGCAGTAGTTGTCTGTGAAGTTGACTTCAGTTTGGCTAAAGCAGAAGATGACAGGATAAGAGTAAAAAGCTAGAAACACTGTCCAGGGATTGTTGCTGTTTCATATTGAACAACAGTGTGGAAAGAATGGGGCATTACTAATACAGAAGGCTAGAGTCAGGATGATAATATTTTTCAAAAGTCTGTTAAAAAGCAAAACTAAAACTATATTTCTGGGGATACATACTTAACATGGGAAAACTGAAGATATAGGGGAATGGCCAAAAAGGAAAACCAAAAAGCAGGACATTTGGTATTCTGGTGAGAAAGGCAGAGTCATGGGAACGGGGGACATTTTAGTTCTTTAGCTAGTTGTTGGCATCATGGGTGTTTTTTATTTTCATGCTTCATAACTTAGATATACTTTATGTAAATTCTTTTTTTAATATATCAAATACTTGAAAAAAGAAAAACGAGATAAAATTGGGACTTTGAAGCCAGATAGATCTGTGTTTAAATCCCAACTGTTGTTTACTACTGTGTGGCCTTAAGTTAGTTATTTAACGTTTTTGAATTTTATTTTATTCATTTTTAAAATGGAAACCACATGGTTTTTTTAAGAATTATTAGTTGGGTGGGCGCCTGGGTGGCTCAGTTGGTTAAGCGACTGCCTTCGGCTCAGGTCATGATCCTGGAGTCCCGGGATCAAGTCCCGCATCGGGCTCCCTGCTCGGCGGGGAGTCTGCTTCTCCCTCTGACCCTCTTCCCTCTCGTGCTCTCTATCTCGCATTCTCTCTCTCTCAAATAAATAAATAAAAAATCTTTAAAAAAAAAAAAAGAATTATTAGTTGGGTGCCTGGGTGGCTCAGTCGTTAGGCATCTGCCTTCGGCTCAGGTCATGATCCCAGGGTCCTGGGATCGAGTTCCGCGTCAGGCTCCCTGCTCAGTGGGGAGTCTGCTTCTCCCTCTGCCTGCCCCTCTGCCTACTTGTGCTCTCTCTGTCTCTCTGTCAAATAAATAAAATCTTCAAAAAAAAGAAAAAAGAATTAGTAGTGTATATGAAGTGCCAGGCATGGTGTTCATACAAAGTCAGAGGTAGACAAGTATTAGCTATTAATATTACTACCAGGAACGTTGTAATTTCTTTTTTTTTTAAGATTGTATTTATTTATTTGACAGAGACACAGCGAGAGAGGGAACACAGCAGGGGGAGTGGGAGAGGGAGAAGCAGGCTTCCCGCAGAGCATGGAGCCTGATGTGGGGCTCGATCCCAGGACTCTGGGATCATGACCTGAGCCTAAGGCAGACACTTAATGACTGAGCCACCCAGGCGCGCCTAGGAACATTGTAATTTCAAATTTTGAAATCTTACTTAGATTTCTTTTCCTAAGCCTGTAGTGGATTTCTAATGTAAATTTAGTTGTTTAGAGAAATCAGCATTTTGGGCTAGATAGGGTATTTAGAATAGAAACAACAAAGGAATTGATTTAAATTTTTGTTTACTTATAATTTAGGTGGGAGACCTACCTGATGCAGATATTAAGCCTCCAGAAAATGTGCTGTTTGTGTGTAAATTAAATCCAGTGACCACTGATGAAGATCTGGAGATAATATTCTCAAGATTTGGGCCAATAAGAAGGTAAACTCTAGAATTAGTGAAAGATTTTAGAAAAACTAGGTATTGGTGGTTTTCTAATGACATTTTTTTGATGAATCTGTGAACTCTGGAATTTTGTAGTGGTGAATTTTACAGATGAGTCTTTTGTACAGTAGGGAAGAAAAATAAGTATATGTGTGTGTATGTGTGCATACAAATATATACACACAAATATATATATATACATGATTGAATGATTGTCCCACTTCCAGCACACACATTTTTGCTTTAAAGCAAGAAGTGAATGGAACAGGTCCCTCGTTTCATGTTTTTAAAATGAGACTTATAGGGCGCCTGGGTGGCTCAGTCGGTTAAGCGTCTGCCTTCAGCTCAGGTCATGATCCCGGGGTCCTGGGATGGAGCCCCACGTTGGGCTCTCTGCTTAGCGGGAGCCTGCTTCTCCCTCTCCCTACCATTCCCCCTGCTTGTACTCTCTCTCTCTGTCAAATAAATAAATAAAATTTAAAAAAATAAAAAATAAAATAAAATGAGACTTATGATATGTGAGGAAATGGACAAGCTGCATGGTTTCAACTCCCATCTTTTGGTCCTTTTACTTACTTGTCAAGATGGATTAGTTCTATATAACAGCTATATTTACGGGGTAAAATTTGAGCTTGGTTTATATTAAAATTCAAAAACTACAAAGCATAAACTTACTAAATGTGTATATATGTATGAATGTACATACATTATTTTACAGTAATATGAGATATTCTGTAATTTATCTACATTTGGACCAGAAGTGAATTATGACTTAAAAGAATTTTTTAGCAGTAGTTTACTTTTGGCACAGGGAGGTAAATAGTTTTATCTTACACTTTCTTCAGTGCATTAGAAATTTAGGACTATAGGCCAAGATTGGGCATTTAGAGTAGAATTGAGATAATTTTGTTACTACACTGGTGAACTACTTTTTTTTAATTGTTATTGAAATTTGGAGGAGTATAGTTTCACGAGTTTAACTTTGATTTTTTTTATAAGAGTTTTTTTTTTTTTTAAAGATTTTATTTATTTATTTGTCAGAGAGAGAGAGCACAAGCAGGGGGAGCAGCAGGCAGAGGGAGAAGCAGGCTCCCCTCTGAGCAAGGAGCCGGATGTGGGACTCTATCCCAGGACCTTGAGATCATGACCTGAGCCAAAGGCAGACGCTTAACACATAACCCACTGTGCCACCCAGGCGCCCCATAAGAGGTTTTTTTTTTAAGATTATTTATTTACTTATGTGAGAGAGAATGAGAGAGAGACAGGGACAGAGACAGAGGGAGAAGCAGACTCCCCGCTGAGCAGGGAGCCTGACTAAGGGTGTGATCCCAGGAGTCTGGGATCATAACCTAAGCCAAAGGCAGACGCTTAACTGACTGAGCACCCAGGTGCCCCTTAACTTTGACTTTTAATAACTGGCTTATTTTGTTCTTCACTTTTGAAGAGTAAGAGTGAATGCTTTTTCTTTAAAGTCACTTTTTCCAAACTTTCTTTCAGTTGTGAAGTTATTCGGGATTGGAAGACAGGAGAATCCCTCTGTTATGCTTTTATTGAATTTGAAAAGGTAGGTCATAGTATACGTATTTTAAGTTTATATTTATTTTTTTCTTATATAGTGTTAAAATGTGAAAAATTATAGAACTTTCTAGTCTCTGAAATTAGAAAATTAATTTACCCTTTCTCTAGGTACCCAAGAAAAATAATTTTCTTATATTCAAATAGAGGGTAAATTCAACATCTGTTGTTGTTAATATGTGTACCTTTACTTTAGGGTCAGGTGCAGTCTGAGTTTATGTATCTTTAAAACTTTAAAGTTTTAGGTGAAATCCTTCACATTGTATAAATGATTTTTCAGCATTGTTTATGTAGATCTGTAATTGAGTAATAGAGAACTGGACTGGGTGTAAAGTTCTAGATATTAACCCGAACTCTGTCACTGACCACCTATTGTATGGTATTTGTCAGTTTGTTTAGGACTCTTATTTCTAGGCATTAGCCTCCTTATAAATACAACTTGTATACTGGATTAGATAGTATCTTCTAGACCTATAATAATAATGATGATAGCTTATGTCACTCAAATAACTTTCTTTAAGCCAGGTATTATACTACTTGACCTGCATTTTACCCTCACAACTCTGTGAGATAGATAGGTATTTTCCTCCTTTTCCAAATAAGTAAACTGAGACATATAGTGGTTGTGTGACTTGATTAAAATCATGCCCCTAGTGAATGTCATAGCTGGGATTTGAATTTAGAAAAATCTGACACTGCTCCTATTGCTTTTAGCTGCTGTGTGAGGCTGTGTCATTTCTATGCAGCTTTGGACTGATGTGTGTCCACTAGTAGCTCCTTCCAAGTGACAGTTATCCTTCCAAGTGATAGTTATTCCAGAGCATTTATCGAATACCTTCTATATTTTAGGCACTGCGATAGCAGAAAAAACCAGAATTCCAGAGGCCCTCCCTATCACTGCTACTTGTAACATTATAGACCTGTTTTGTCTAATTTTAAACTTGATATAAATGTAAACACAGTGTGTGTTTTTTGTGTCCAGCATCTTTTGCTTAAGTGTTATATTCGTAAGATTTATATGTTACTACATATGTAGTAACATGTTAACTTTTTTCATTAATTTCCATTGACATGGTATTTCATTATGTGTATATGGATTTTTGTTGCCATATAGTATTTTATTACGTGTATATAAAACAATTTAGATTTCCATTCAGCTTGGTCCTTGTAGTTTTGAGCTATTATGAATGGTTCTACTGTAAGGCATTTCTTTCGTATGTTTTGGTGTACATATGTATGCATTTCTGTTGGGTATGTACCTATGAGTGAATTGCTGGGTCATAGGGTAGTTGTGGCTGTAGTAGATTATTTTAATCAGTTTTCCAGAGTGGTTGCATTTTTTTTTCCCCTAAGTGGTTATATTTTCGCTTTCACTAGCAATGTGTGAGAGTCCCTGTCAGTTCTTGGTATGGTCAGTCTTTAAAATTTTTATCCATTCTGGTGAGTGTGTAGTGGTATCTTATGATGGTTTTATTTTGCATTTCCTTGGTTGCGCCCCCTTTCATATGTTTATTGCATTTGGATGTCTTTTCTTTTTTTTTAATGAAGTAACTGTTCAAGACTTGCCCACTTTTTGATTGCATGTTTGGCTGCCTTTTTCTTGATTTGTAAGAATTCTTTACATTTTCTGGATACAAGCTTATTTTTTGGTTATATGTGTTGTGAGTATCTTTTCTATAGATTTGCCTTTTCCCCATTTTTAAATGGTGTCTTTTGATAAGCAGAAATTTCTGATTTTTAGTGCAGTTTGTCAATATTTTTCTTTTTTTTTTTAAAGATTATTTATTTATTTATTCATGAGAGACAGGGAGAGAGAGAGAGAGAGAGGCAGAGGGAGAAGCAGGCTCCCAAGGAGCAGGGAGCCTGACGTGGGACTCGATCCCAGGACTCTGGGATCATGACCTGAGCCGAAGGCAGACGCTTAACCATCTGAGCCACCCACGCGCCCCAAACAATCATTCACAAAATATTTTTCTTATGGCTGGTTTTAAAAAACTTTGTCTACCCCCACAGTCATGAAAATATCCTCCAATGCTGGGGCGCCTGGGTGGCTCAGTTGGTTAAGCGACTGCCTTCAGCTCAGGTCATGATCCTGGAGTCCTGGGATCGAGTCCCATATCGGGCTCCCTGCTCAGCAGGGAGTCTGCTTCTCCCTCTGACCCTCTTCCCTCTCGTGCTCTCTGTCTCTCATTCTCTCTCTCTCAAATAAATAAATAAAATCTTTAAAAAAAAAAAATCCTCCAATGCTACCTTTAGAAGGTTTGCTGTGAAAAATCTTTCCCATTTAGATCTGTAATTTGATTTTTGTGTATTATGTGTATCATGTTAAATTTCATTTTTCTTACATTGGATAGCAAGGGGACTCAGCGTAGTTTATTGAAAAGGTTGTCCTATCCACACAGCTTGGCAGTGCCATCTTTGTCATAAGTCAGGTGCCTACATAAGTGTAAAGTATCTGAGAACTTTCTCTTTAGAGAAAGGGCACAGTGATGCAGTTATGCCTGCCCAAGTATAATCATTACAGATTCATCAAACATACATTGATTGTTGGGGCGTCTGGCTGGCTCAGTCAGTAGAACATGTGACTCTTGGGTCATGAGTTTGAGCCCCATGTTGGATGTAGAGCTTACTTTAAAAAAAAGAGCAAAACACTGATTGCCTATCATGTGCCAGATGATGTTCTAAATGATGTAGATACAAAGATGAATAAAGCTTTATATCTTTATGGAGTTTATAATCCATTTAATTCTTGACATACATGGTAAATAAATAAATTATAACTAGTTTTTGTTTTTTTATCTTCTTCTCTGAATTGTCTCTAGTAAGTTGTGAGCACGCCAGAGAATATGTTTCCAGGAATGTAGGAGATAATTGATCAATGCTGGGTTGAAATGCATCACTTCTAGTCTTCAGATGTCGGAAATGGAGAATAGGGGGTTTGTGAAGTTGCTGACAGGAAGAATCCTTATGTAACACTGACCTTGGTATCTCAGGCCCACAGTCCATTATCCACACCCCTGGGGGTAGCTATGTTTCTGATTTCAGGCTTTTTCAGAACTTAGAAAGGTGTGGACTGTGTAATACTCCTCTGGGTCAGCACTCCATAATCATTCACAAAATATTTCTGCACTGAAACAAATGCATATTCATACTAAGTGGAACAAATCAAGGCCACAGTCTTCTGTTAGGTCAAGTTTTGTTGTCAAATGGATTTTATTTTATTTTTTTAAAGATTTTATTTATTTGACAGAGAGAGAGACAGCCAGAGAGGGAACACAAGCAGGGGCGGTGGGAGAGGGAGAAGCAGGCCTCCTGCCGAGCAGGGAGCCTGATGCGGGGCTCCATCTCAGGACCCTGGAATCATGACCTGCGCCGAAGGCAGCCGCTTAACGACTGAGCCTCCCAGGCTCCCCTGTCAAATGGATTTTAACACCAAATTTATAAAAACAGCTTTCAACTTTCAGAATATTTTTGGGTTTCGAATGAAAGGGTTTGTAGATGGACTTGTACAGCACAATTTGTAAGTGTATGTATGTCCACTACAGTCACACTGCCTCGGCTCAAATCCTGGCTCTCACCTTTGCCAGCTGACCTTTGGCAACTTCTGTACCTTTTTTTTTTTTTTTAAAGATTTTTATTTATTTATTTAATTGACAGAGAGAGAGACAGCGAGAGAGGGAACACAAGCAGGGGGAGGGTCAGAGGGAGAAGCAGGCTTCCCGCCGAGCAGGGAGCCCGATGCGGGGCTCGATCCCAGGACCCTGAGATCATGACCTGAGCTGAAGGCAGTCGCTTAACCAACTGAGCCACCCAGGCGCCCCCTTCTGTACCTTTCCAAACATATGTTTTCTCTTCGAGAAAATGGAGATAATAATAGGTGGTACTTCATATGCTTGTTATCAGAGTTAACTGAGCTCATAGATGCAGAGCATGCAACAGCATCTGGTGTGCGATAGGCACTCAAATATTAGTGTTAGTAACAACAGACTTGCTGTGTTTTCAGTATTTGTTCTAGCTGCAGGAATTTTTTCCATAAAGATTTATGCTTGAGTTTTTGTAATTATTATCAGGAAGAAGATTGTGAGAAGGCGTTCTTCAAAATGGACAATGTCCTTATAGACGACAGAAGAATACATGTGGATTTTAGCCAGTCTGTTGCAAAGGTTAAGTGGAAAGGAAAAGGTATGTTGGTTCAGCTTCCTTTGTTTCTGTTCATTGTGCATGCGTGTGCGTGTGTGCGTGTGCATTATGTGTGTGTGTGCGTGTGCACGCGTGTGCCTGTACCTCCTTTGCCTTAGTGTTGTTCATTAGAAATGTTCATTGATGGAACTTCTGCCATTTATGGTTTCACGTAGGTGCTAGCAAGAATCTAACATACAGGGGAGTGTGTGTGTGTGTATATGTGTATTTAAGCTGATGGTGAATATATTTACTATTTTTGTGTTATAAATTACTTATAATTACCCATTGCAAACATGGCATATTTGCAAAGTAATGATTTTGATGGTTGTGATGGCTTGGTTCTTCTAGGTGCAAAACTCTAAGTTTTTTTGAAGTTTGTTTGTTTTAGTTATCATATGGTAGAAAATTGAAAAGGTGGTGTTTAAAAACTCTCCCTTCCCTCATCTATCCATTTCCCTTCCCAGAGGTAACCACTCTTACCCGTTTCTTGTATTATTTTCCACATACATTCTTTGAACATACATACATATGTGTTTATTTTATGTTAGAATTTCCTCTTATTTCATGTTTTTATTCCCATGTAGGTTTTATGTATATTTGTTAGCTTTCTCTTTTAAAAAAGGAAGTATATATATTTTATACATACAGTTTTCATCTTGGGAGTAGAGGGGCTGCATAGGATGCTTTTTCCTGGCCCTGCCACCAAGGGCCAGTCAAGATATAACAGTAGGTCCTATTTTTCTGAAGGGATTGTTGATTTCATTTCTGGCACTTGGGAGGGAATATAGATGACTTAAGCAAGAATTTCCAAGCAGAGACAGTTTGTCTTTGGTGGTGTTGCCAGCCCTCCCCTTTCACACCCTTTAGTGAACTTCTGTGTACATTCCTGCTGTCCTGCTATCTGCTTGGTGCTCTGGAGATCTTGGTCAGTGTCTCTTCTGACAGATCAGAGAACTTTAAAGCCTCACTTCTTTCAAACTTCTAAGCCTCTCAGATCTCAGACTCCAGTCTCAAGCCCTCAATTTCCTTTGGACCTAATTTTCTCATGGACTTAATGGCTCTACTTAAATACTGCATTATTTCCCAGTGAAATGTATTCACTGTGTCATTTAGGATTTGAAAGTTTGATGTTGTAATTACTCACATATATCGTTAGGTGGCAGCATATAGCTACTTAGCAAAACGGATTTCATTTGAAATAGTAATGGAGAATGAATTACTCTTCTTTTGTTTTCTTCTCAGCCTTTTGCTGTCCGCCAACGTATATGCCACTTATAAAATAGCTGATGTATTATACCTCTTAAAATTAATTTTTGTTCTTTAATAAGTTAGGGGAGTTTTTTTACTAAGTCTTTTTTTTTTTTTTTTTAATAAATAGGTGGGAAATACACCAAGAGTGATTTCAAGGAGTATGAAAAGGAACAGGATAAACCATCTAATTTGGTTTTGAAAGATAAAGTAAAGCCCAAGCAGGAGTATCCTTTACAATAACCAATTAGTCAATATGTATAGACCATCCACTCTGTGTAGAATACTGTGTGATATGTTATAAAAAGTCACAGTCTGTAGAAGACAAGGTTCCTGAATCCAGTGGTTTGTGAAGACATCGTTTAGTTTATTGTGATCCTGTTTCAACGTCTTACATAAACTTTCCTTTTTGGTATGTTCTCTAATGTATGGATAAGGGTTGAAAAAAATCTCTAGCCTAATTCTTTTCCCTCCTTACTCTTAGGTTAAGGTTAACACTTATTCTGAAATCTTCAGGTAAGATTCGTATTTTGTATACAATTGTAATGTTTTAAATTCCTCATACTCAGAAATTTTCTTCGTGTAGCTACGCTAAATTCTTGGTGTTAACCTTCCTTATAATGTTTAACTTCTTTGGATGGTAAATATGTAGATTAACAAAATCCTGTTGTTCTCTTACATGATTAGGTTGCTTCTTTCTGCTTAGTACATTGTCAGTCTAACAACAAATATTTATTGGGCTCCTATTTGTATGCAAGAGTTAGCTTTTATATGATTAAAAAGAAATCCATTGACTTGACCATTTTAATTTAGGTTCTTCCAAGTTTTAGTTGAGACAAGTAAAAATCAGTGAAACATACTGTTTACATTATGTCATTTTAATTTGTTCATTGATATTCTCATTATAAATCTATCACTCTTCACATTGCGAAAGTTATTTCTTTTGTGATTCTTTCTGGTAAATGGTTTCTTTGTTTCCTAATTTCTGTTGGCGTTTTAGGGATTCTCTTTCCCACACCTGTCTTAGATATTTCTTTTCCAAGTATTCATCAGGGAAAGATGAATATCAGGTTGACTTGTTATACACTCATTTGAAAAACTCTGTTGACTGTCTACAGTGCATAAAGCATTGTAAAGTGTAAGAGGCATGACAGGAGGATAAAGTCTGATATGTGCTGACACGAGGAGGCGGCTTTCACACGCAAGCACACCAAACAGTAAGCTAAGATGTAGTCTAAAAAGATGTACATAAGGGGGGATATGATTGAAATATTAAAATCATAAAAGGTATGGGTGGGATACACTTAAGATTTATTTAACAAATCTTTGAAATTAAATTTAGGCTAACCACTAGTAGCTGCAGCTGGCAGAAGGGAAGTGTGTAAGGCAGATAAAAGGAAGTGCAGACATAGAGTGTAAAGTACAAGGAGGTGTCTTTCATCTTTTCCCTCATAGAGGTAAGTAGTTCAGGCTGAAAAGGAAGAATATGTAGTATTAAAATGTTCTAAATTCAAGATGATAGATTACTAAAAGCTAAGAAAAGAAACCAGGCATGTTTGAGAATAAATCTGTAGCCCAGTTACGATCCAATAGAAGTTTCTACAGTGATGGAAACTATCTCCACCATCCAGTGTAGCTACCAACCACATGTGTTTTTTGAGCATGTGAAATGGACTGAGGAACTGAATTTTATTTTATTTTATTTTTTTAAAGATTTTATTTATTTATTTGAGAGAGAGAGAATGAGAGACAGAGAGCACGAGAGGGAAGAGGGTCAGAGGGAGGAGCAGACCCTCCACTGAGCAGGGAGCCCGACGTGGGACTCGATCCTGGGACTCCAGGATCATGACCTGAGCCAAAGGCAGCCGCCCAACCGAGCCACCCAGGCGCCCTGAGGAACTGAATTTTAAAGTTTGCTTAATTTTAATTAATTTAAACAACTGCATGTGGCTAGTATTGAACAGTATCAGCTTTCAGTCTTTTGAAATTGATGGAGAAGACAGACATGACCTGATGCAAACCATGGTTAATCATTCTCAAACAGAATATTAGACAAGGAAAAAGGAAATTCTTGAGTCTGACCCAGTAAGATAGTCTTTCTTGGTAATTGATTTCATTTTAGCAAGGCCTTTATAATCTCAGGTACAATAATAGAGTGACAGAACATGTGTTTATAATATGTAAGAGATATATATATATATATATATATATATATATATTTTTTACCCACCGTGTATATTATGTATTATGTGACTTTTTTACTATGGCAGGGAAAGGAGATTCAGAGGACAATCTAATAATCAGATAAGTTTAGTGGGGTTTTTTTAATATATAATTAGATAAGCTTTAAGTTAAAAAGGCATGGTGGAGATACACTTTTATGGATCTTGAGAGAAAGAGAAATTATTGTAAATTAGACTACTAATAAGATTAAAAATAGAACAAAAGGAAAGGCAAGTTTAATTTGGCCAGGGTAGACCTTGGGGAATAAATTGGGGAAAGGAAGTCAGAGAGATCACAAATCTATGGTTAATTCAAAGGACTTCGGAAAGATTTGACACATGCAAGTGTTGCCTATAGTAGTGAGTAGAAGATAGTGGGTAAACGAGGGAGAAGAGATGTGACAAGTGTCTTGGCGATACGGTAAATAATCAACAAGTACTTATTTGGCGTCTGTTACACACCCAGCTTAGCAGTGAAACATAGCCCCTGCCCTCATAGACCTTACGTTTTATTGTTGGGGGGATGAACAGACATTAAATAATTACCAGGAATCAAATATAAATATGTCTAGAGTGTTGCAAAGAAGTACATTTGTGGGATATGGGGCTTATAGAGGTGAGGAGTCAGGGAGGACCCTCAGGTAACACTAAGAGAAGTGACATTAAAGCAGCACCTTGAATATGGGGGAAGAGCTATGATGGGAGGCTGTTTTCTCTGACTTGATCCATCATTTAAGAAATCTAGTTTATGTTATGCCTAGCACAATCCAAGTACAGCCACTCACATGCACACATAATTGAAACAGAAATGCCATAGTATTTTTATTAGGTGCCATATATTCTGTTTTCCATTCTACATTATTACAAAATGCTGGCGGTGACACACTAAATGGGTTTTGGACGGAGGGAGCTGCATGTGTAAAGCAACACAGTAAGTGAAGTCCTGGGCAAGGGCTGTTGAATTCGTACCTGCAAAAGGAGAGGCTTCAGAAGCTACTCTGGAAACAGTGTGACGTAGTATAAAGGAGAAAAGAAGTTAGAGATAATGGAGTAGGAATAGGATATGGTACAGGCTGACTGGCCATCTTTAGCCATCTTGTGAAAAGCCAAGAGGATGCGGCATTTTCCTGTTTAATGTTATGTAGAAGTGAGATGTCCCTGAGGAAGGCATAGAGCTGCGGTGTCGTGAAAACAGACCTGACGCTCTAGTCCTGAGGGAAGTGTGTCCACCATTCCTCTAGTTGCACACGCCTCTAAAACAGCTCTGCATTTTGGGCTTCCTCCTAAGCTTTTTTTTTGAAAACCACTATTCTGGCCCTTGTCAGCCTTCCTCAAACACTATTTTAGAATTTGAGATTATTTTCAACAGGGTATAACGGTTTTATATTTTCTCTTATTCTAAGACATAATAGTATAATAGAGAAAATACATCTCTCTGAATTAAAACACATTATCATAATTTTCATACCACATTTATGTGAAATTAAGACAAGGTTCACTCACGTCTATAAATATTGAGTCACTGTGTTGTACACCTGAAACTAATACAATATTGTATGTCAACTATACTTCAACTAAGAAAAAAAGATCCACTCACAATTTACCATCTAGACAAATGATACCATTTCTCGTTGTTTCTTTCAAATCTTGATCTTTTATGATTTGTAAAGTTATGATTACCATATGGTATAAACAATTTTTATTTCAAGGTTTTTCCACTTTTAATTTTTCATAAACACTTTTCTGGTTTTTTTCATAGCATTCACTTATCATTGCTAATAACTTTCTTTGTATATCCTGTTGAAGTTCTACAGTATATTTAAGAATGTCCTTATTACTAGGCTTTTGTTACTCTCGGTTTCTGTTACAAAAAATAATTGTTATATATACCTTTGTTCATTTAACTTATTTTAATCTTTTATAAATTCTTCAATTTAAATGTGGCGGCTGTTGCGAGGCATTGCTAAATTTCCTCCTATAGGATTGAACTAATTAGTACTTCAACAGAGGAGTCACAGGAATGTATCTTCTATCTCCTGTAGCTCCTCTGGCATTGGGGTTTGTCATATCTTAATTTTTTCCAGTGAAACTTACCTCATTTTGTAAGTTTAAGTTTTTTTTCATTACTGACAAATAGGTTTCCTTATTTTTTATGGCTACTTAGATTTTCATTTGTGGATTTAGCTTTTTTTGCCCTCCATGTTTTTTGCCCACTCACTTGCCAGTTGTTAATTGTTTATTTAAGGTCAGGGTTCTTTCCATTTTTCCTGAAAGAAAATACGAAGTAGTTATGTTTTAGAAAAAGACTCTATGCTTGTGAGGTGCTTTTTGCTTTAAAAAATTTTTAGCCTCATGGCCACCTCTGTTTACCAGATTCTTTTTTTTTTTTTTTAAAGATTTTATTTATTTATTCATGAGAGACAGAGAGAGAGAGAGAGAGGTAGAGGGAGAAGCAGGCTCCCTGCTGAGCAGGGAGCCCGATGCGGGACTTGATCCCAGGACCCTGGGATCATGACCCGAGCTGAAGGCAGACGCTTAACCATCTGAGCCACCCAGGCGCCCTGTTTACCAGATTCTTATGTTTTGATGTATTATCAGTGTCAGTTCTCACATCTGTCCTTAACTAGCTGCTGCAGTGCAAAATATGATCTTGTACTAGATGAGCAAGCAGAAGATTCAAAATCAAGTCACTCACACACAAGTAAAAAACACAAGAAGAAAACTCGTCACTGCTCTGAAGAACAAGAAGATGAGGACTACATGCCGATCAGAAATACTAATCAGGTACTTGTAATGTCCAGCCTTAGCTGTAGAGAGAGAATATTTTATCCCTCTGTAAACTACTTCTGAGTGACATAATGTAGGGGGAAGGGGTATAGTTCTGAACAGGGTGGCCATGTTCCTAACTAGAACATAGAATGGTTTCACTGGGGTGATGGACTGTAGTTTTTGAGAATATAGATCACAAATGATAAAAGATTGTTTTCAAAGTAACTTAGTATATCATTCAGTTCCATATTGTGAAATGAGTGATTTCTGAACCTGTGGACACTTACTTAACTCCCATCAGGAGCAAGTGTGGTTGTGCTGAAAAAGTGCTCATTTGTCATTTTAACTGATCACCAAGTGTTATGGATAGTACTTATAGCTCTTGAAGTTTTTTTTTTTAATTTATTTTTTATTATTTATATATTTTTTAAAGATTTTTATTTATTTATTTGAAAGAGAGAGCATGAGCAGGGGGAGGGGGAGAAGCAGACTCCCCTGCTGAGCAGGGAGCCCGATGCAGGGCTTGATCCCAGGACACTGGGATCATGACCTGAGCCAAAGTCAGTCACTTGACCGACTGAGCCACTCAGGCTCCCCGCTCTTGAAGTTTTAAGACCGGTGAAACATTTATGGGGAGGGGGAGGGGCAGAGAGATAAGCAGACTCCCTGCTGAGCTCAGAGCCTGACAGGGGGCTTAATCCCAGGACCCTGGGATCATGACCAGAGCTGAAGGCAGACGCTTAACTGACTGAGCCACCCAGGTGCCCTGCCACCAACATTTCTTAAATCTTGATTCTTCTCTAGACACTTAAATCTCCATCCCCATCTCCCACTCCTACCCAAACTGCAGGGACACAAAATGACAGGTAAGGTAATCTTTGCCCTCAGAGAATTTAGGTTCCTCTAGAGAGGGATGAACATATAAGGAAGAAAGGGAAGATGTAAGACATACACGTACTGTTAGTTAAGACAGCATTGGACATGGAGTCAAAAGATCACTGTTTTAGCCGAAGCATGCTATATAATTTTTGATAAGACACTAAATCCCCTTTATCTTATAAGTTTCTTCATAATTAATAGATTTTGTGCATCTTTTTTATCCTGCTGTTTGATTACTTTAAAACTTCACAATAGAAAATATTTTTCTTTTTTGGCATGGAGTAAAAGCCATCAAGTAGTTTTTTGGGGGAATGTTGTTAGAACTTTTTAAAATAATTTTAAATCAGTTGGCAATTATAAAATTATTCTTTTTTTAAATTACTGTGTTTTAAATCAGAATAGTTTCTGTGGCCATTCACTGGATTCATATTTTAATTAATTTGTTTCTTTTCAATGTTTAGAGATTGCTTTAAATAATTTTTTGTGTGTTTTGTAGTTTTAAAAATTTCTTGTATGCTTCCAAAGTAAAATCTGCGAAGTGGTATGTGTGGAGAACCTAGATTCTTCCCCCCACCTTTCACTTCTGCCCCCACGGCAGCCCCTCGGTGTGTTTCATGGGTTGTTCTTCATTTTTAAAAAATTTCAGCAGATATGTATTTTATATAATTCTTAGTTTCCTCTGTTCTAGATAGCATGTATTCCTACTCCTCGCTGTCATCTTGAGGACCTCTCTTTTTCCATAGCCTTTTTGCTATTTAAAGAGTGCCCTCATTCATGCCCTGCCCTCAGCGTTTAAGTCACACCTTTCCTCTGTTACTCAGTTCTCCCAACTAAGATGCACATGAATCAGTGACAGCTAGTGGCATCTGTGTGCGTACAATGTGAGGTGGATACGATTTTCCCCATTTCACAACCGAGAAAGTGAAAACTGAAGAGTTTAAGTGACTTGCCCTGGTTTTACAGAGCTGATAAGTAGCAGAGCTACAGTATAAATCCGGACTTGTTCTCCTAGCCGCTCTGCTGCTGCTCTGACCTAGAGTATATTGCTGGCAGTTTTCTATTGCTAGTCTAATAAAATTGGTCTCCTAGTGTGATACTCCAGTGTGATCTATCTGGCACAGCTCCCTCTTAATTTCTGTACTGTATTAGTTTGGCCTGAGACCACCCCAGTCTTTTGAAATGGTGGCTGTGTCACATTTCTATAAATATTTAGCATGTTTTCCGCTGGAACTCGTTGATCCCCGCCCCCTGTGTCACCCCCGACCATTGTCCATGTTTTTTTAGCCACAGCTTCCTGTTCTGCACTTGGCACATGGACTCCTCAGTGAGTTTAGGCCTGACGTGCAGTATGTTGGTCTATTTGCAATAATCAGAGGTCCAGAAAATCAAAATCTGGCTGCATTTTAAGTCTCTGATTCCCCCTTTTGTGCATCTTTTTTATCCTGCTGTTTGATTACTTTAAAACTTTGCAATAGAAAATATTTTTCTTTTTTGGCATGGAGTAAAAGCCATCAAGTAGTTTTTTGGGGGAATGTCGTTAGAACTTTTTAAAATAATTTTAAATCAGTTGGCAATTATAAAATTGTTAGGTTCCAATTAATTATCTCCTAACTTATTTCTCCCCTCAAAGCAAATGTTTTTTGATTTTGTACTTTGATTTAATAATACAAGTATACTAATTTTCTTTCCAATAAAATAGCATCTGTATTTAACAGTTTAGTGGGCCCATTTTTTTGTTTTATTATTCTGATTTTTATCCTTTTGATTTCAGTCTCAAGATTATAATCATTAAAGGGAATTTTCAGTCCTAGGTTATTCTCAGGTATAGCTCAGATTTTCCTATTTGTTGGTATTTTGCTTGGTGGGCCTAGTTTCCTAAGAATATTTTAACTTATTTCTTCAAGTTCTTTGTTTTTTATTGAGTGACAGCCTTACTGTTCAATTTGAAAACTTCTCTGTTTAATTTTTCCACCTCATGTCTTTATTCCAGAGATGGTTACTATGTTGTTGAGGCTTGGGTTTTACTGGGGTTCCAGGAAGTGAGCTTTCGGCTGTGGGTTGCCTGGCTGAGAAGTATGCATCCTGGTTGTCAGTCCTCCTCTGTGGCTTTTGTAGGTGTTTATTATTCTTATAATTGGGGACTCTTATTTTTGCTGTCATTTTGATCAGTTAATGTTATTTTAGTGATTTAGATTTAACTAAATCTTTGGTTTAGTCCTAGAGACCTGAGCAAGGATAGCTTTTAGTTGAGATTTTTTTGGACTGCTTTACATGAAATCATTGGATAGGTTCAGGTGATTGCTTTAAATTGTCCACTTAAAAAATAAATATATTGGCCATTTTATGGTGTTCTTTCTTTCCTTTTTAGCCACATACTAGTTTAGTTATTTTGTCTTATGGCTTAAGTGTATAAAATGATAGAATTTTTTTGAAGTCTGTACTGGAAAGGACTTACAGCTCATCTAATTCATTCCCTTCCCCTTAGATGTAAAGATCCTGACCCCACAGGCCTGTGGCCCTTTATAGTTTAATGAGAGAGCTAGAACTTTAACATTATATTGATTCAGGTATGGGTTTTTTTCATTATTCTGTACCACCCCCTTTTCAATTTTATATGTCAAGTTACTGATCAATTAAAAAATTATCTCTACCCTGTACAGATCTCTTGAGTCTCACTTTCCTTATTTTCTAGAATGAGGGTAATATTGTACTCCAAAAGCACTTAGCACTGTGCTAGCACATACTTAAAGGATTAGTTCTAATATGGCTTCATCCAGCCATCTGACCTTTTCCTCTTCATGCACATGGTGGTGATTCTTCCTTGCTTTTCAGTTTTCACTTCTCCGTGCATTAGCCTTCTTGCAGCCGATCCACAGCCAAACCCACTCATTCTTTGAGGTTAATATCAAGTCCTAACTTCTCGATGAAACCTTCCCTGGTAAATCTAACCTCAAGATTATTTCTTGTTTGACACATCTCGTAAATGGCAAAGACCATTTGAACCTAGAGCTGCCCAACTTTAAAGCTTGTATAGCTTTGAAAAATATTCCAAGTAGGAGAGGTTTTAAGGTTTCAGTCATTTCAGATTTTCAGCTTCATTAAGTTTTTCAAAGAATTAAATACTGTATAATCTTTTATCTCCTTCTCTCTTTATTTTAAACAAAGCACTTAAGTGCCTTTTTGTATAATTACTAAAGATTTTATACTTATACATCAGTTAGCAGTCTCTCCATTTTAAAAGTTTGTTGTCCCAACCAATACAGGAATTAAGTATACAGACAGAATAGTACATAGATATTTACATTTTGTGTATGTTACAGGAAGCAGAAAAAATTCTTTTATCTAGGGCTGTCATATATTGCTAGAAAGTAGCAGTTAAAGAGTTAAACCAAGTACTCACATTCTACCTCTGGGACTCTTACAGAGTGAGAATAACTATTGGGATTGTGCAGGAAATCATGAAACAGTTTATAAAGTTGTATTCCACAAACACTGATTAGAACAATCATGTTAGATCTATTTTCACATGCTGCAATCTCCATGCCAGGTGTAATGTACAGTATCTAGACAATATACGGAATAATTATGAATCCTTTGCTTAAAAACCAGTCCTTAACCATGGGTATTCATCACTCTAGATTTGAAACCTTGACATTTACATCTATTATAATAATGTCTGTGGTGATAGAGTTGGGACCCTTGGGAACTCAATCCTTAGGATTTTGCTTTTCTCTGAGAGAAATCTTTTAAGGAAGTTGAATTTTATGAACTGTCTCTTGAAAGAGCATTGGCTCTGGTCTCTTTAGATTTTGGCCACTTGCTGAGATACTCATTTTATTTTACTTTATTTTTTTAAGTAGGCTCCATGCCCAATGTGGAGCCCAAGGCGGGGCTTGAACTCATGACCCTGAGATCAAGACCTGAGCTGAGATCAAGAGTCAGATGCTCAACCAACTGAGCCACCCAGGCGCCCCCAAGATATTCATTTTAATTAGGGATAGAACACAAACAGAAATAGAATTGTTTTAACTAGCCCTCTTCATACAGGAAAATTACTACTGTTACTTAAAAATTAGTAAGAATAGAATTTAGGGTCACTGGGTGGCTCACCTGCTTAAGATTCTCTCCCTCTGCCCCCCTCCTCTCTCTGTCTCTGTCTCTCTCACCCCCTCCCCCAAAAAAGAATTTAATGTATCTACTCTGGTGGCCCATTGTTTCTTAACTCATTTTTAAAGAAATATGTAAATAAATGATTCTATTTATTTATTTATTTATTTATTATTTTTTAAAGATTTCCTTATTAGAGAAAGTGCATGCACATGCAGGGGGAGGGGCAGAGGGAATCTCAAGCAGACTCCCCTCTGAGTGTAGAGCCTGACACGGGTGTCCGTCTCATGACCCATGAGATCATGACTTGAGTCAAAACCAAGAGTCGGATGCTTAACCGACTGAGCCACCCAGGCGCCCCAATAAATGATTTTAATAAAAAACATGTATCAGCTTAATATAAACAAGGAAAATATATTTGAAGATTTGAAGAGGAGTTGTTATAAAATAAACACTTTAAAAATAAGCACTCAGACTAAAGTATGCAGTATCTGTTTTATCGACTTGTCTAAAACCTCTTCTGGCTATGTTATTTAAATGTCTTCTTTATAGGGTTTTTATGGGAATTTTAGTAATTCCATTGCAGATCAATTGGGGAGTGGAGAAGGGAGGGGTAGAAAGGTGACCAGCCACAGCCAGAATTCTTGGTATTGTGATTTTCTCTAAACAGTTGTTCTAATTTCAGTTGGGTGGATTTCAGTTCTTTATTTTTGGTTCTGATCCTTCAGTTCAGCTGAAGTAGTAGTTACAAAGCAATGAGATTGATAAGAAAAATGATTAAGTCTTTTTCTGAATTATTTTTGCTTTCTAATTTATGAGATTCTTGGGATTAGTGGTGGTGGTCAAATTTGAGCTGTTACAGCTTTTGCTGTGGTAGACTTTCTGAGTTTTATTAATTGACAGTACCTATAAAATGATTATTTTATGGATTCACTTGTAGCTGTCTCTCCATCCCTTTGACAGGATATCTACAGGGAGATGGGATTTGGTCACTATGAAGAAGAAGAAAGCTGTTGGGAGAAACAGAAGAGTGACAAGAGAGACCGACCTCAGAACCGAAGTCGTAGCCGATCTCGAGAAAGGGACGGCCACTACAGTAATAGTCACAAATCCAAGTATCAGACCGACCCCTACGAAAGAGAACGGAGTAAAAAGAGAGACCGAAGCAGGAGTCCCAAGAAATCCAAAGATAAAGAAAAATCTAAGTACAGATGAACAATGAAGAACCAGACATGAGTGGCTAATGTATTTACTGTTGTCTAACTTAGAGCATCAGCTGTTCAGATTTCGTGTCAAAGCCGTTAAAGACTCTGCTCGTTATTTTTTTTTCACACTAGGGTTATGGCCCTTTTCAGTTGATACTGATTGTATAGGGCACAGAAAGACAATAAAAAACTGAACATTTTCTTTGTATGCTTTTTTACACTAATTTTATTGTTATACATAAACAGTAGTCTTCATTTTTAAAGTCTTTCACATTTTCCACTCTTCTTTTTTTAAATGAAGTATTTCATACTTACAAAAATTCACAAACATGTATATATAAGGTATAAAGAATAGTAAATATTTGTGTGCCCATGAGCCAGCTTAAGAAATAGAATATCACCTACATTTTAGAAACTCTCTTTATGCTCTCTCCTCAAGTGATGATTCTGAATTTTGTATTTGTCATTCTCTTGCTTGTTATAATTTTACACCAATGTATGTATTCTGAAATGAAATGTTAAATTTTGTATGTTTTTGAATTTTATATAAATGGCATAATGTATGTTTACTTCTGTGACTTTTTTCAACTTAGTATTTTTAGAGAATCATTCATTTTTATTGCTTTGTAGTATTGTACGAATAGACTGCAATTTACCCATTCTTCTGTTAATGGCCATTTGGAGTTGTTGGTTTGTTTTTGTTTTTGCTATTGCAAACAGTGCTGCTATGAACATTCTGTATCTAGGAGTGATATTACTTGCTCACATGGTATGAATATTTTCATCTTTACAAGATAATGCCAAATTATATTCTGCAGTGGCTGAACCAGTTTATACCCCGACCAGCTCTGTGTGAGTTACCTTTGTATTACATCATCTCAAACACTTCTTAGTTTCATACTTTTAAATTTTGCCAATGTAGTGGATGCTTAGTGGTACCTTCTTGTGGTTTCCAGCAAGAAGACTACTATTATTCTTTTTTTTTAAATAATGTTATGTTAATCACCATACATTACATCATTAGTTTTTGATGTAGTGTTCCATGATTCATTGTTTGTGCATAACACCCAGTGCTCCACACAGAACGTGCCCCCCTCAACACCCATCACCAGGCTAACCCATCCCCCCACCCCCCTCCCCTCTAGAACCCTCAGTCTGTTTTTCAGAGTCCACCGTCTCTCATGGTTCGTCTCCCCCTCTGATTTACTCCCCTTCATTCTTCCCCTCCTGCTATCTTCTCCTTTTTTTTTCCTTAACATATATTGCATTATTTGTTTCAGAGGTACAGATCTGTGATTCAACAGTCTTGCACAATTCACAGCGCTCACCATAGCACATACCCTCCCCGATGTCTATCACCCGACTACTATTATTCTTATATTTGTTCTTCTATATGTAACTTGTTCTTTTTCTCTGGCTGCTTTTCCTGTTTTCTCTTTATCACTGCTGTTGTGCAATTTGATTATGATGTGCTTGGTGTAGTTTTTTTTCACGTTTCTTCTGCTGGGGCTGTTTACCTACAGTTTTATGGTTTTTACCAAATTTGGAAAAGCTATGGGTATTATTTATTCGGTTTTTTTCTGTCCCTCCCCTCCTCTCACTGTCCTAAGACTCCAGTGACTTGTATGTTAGGCCGTCTGATGTTGTCACACATTATACTGATGCTCCATTCGGGTGAAGTCTTTTTCTCCTGTTCCATATTGAATAGTTTCCATGGCTGTGTCCTCAAGTTCATTAATCTTTTCTCCTGAAGTATCTAATCTGTTAATCCCATCCAGTGTATTTTTCACCTCAGACGTAATTTTTTAATTTTAGAAGTTCCATTTGGGTCTTTTTTTTATCCCCCGTGCTTTTCCTTAACAGGCTCATGCTTTCCTCCATTTTTTTTTTTTAAGCACCTGGAGTACATTAATAATAGCTGTGCTAATGTACTTGATCATTCTGTCATCTGTATCATTTCTGGTCTATTTCTATTGATTGATTTTTTCCCCACCCATTATTGAGTTGTAATTTACTTTTCACTGGTAATTTTTGGATTTTACATTGCTGTGTACTAGAGTTCTTGTGTTCCTTTAAATATATTTAGCTTTTTCTGCAACATAATTAAGTTACTTGGAAACAGTCTGATCCTTTTATAGCTTGCCTTTTAAGTATAATGAGATAGGACCAGAAGAGCTTTTAGGGCTAATTTGGCCCACTACTGAGGTAATACCCTCTGAATAATCTCCCCTTTGCTTAGTCTCTTAGGAGATCTCTCCTTTCTGGCTATTGGGAACAAGAACAATTTTGAGCCCTATATGAATTCCCAGGTTCTGCTCCCTGCTCTTTTCTGGTGGTTCTTTCCCATCTTCGGGTAGTTTCCTCGTGTGTATACACCGATTAGTATTCAGCTGAAGACTCAGGCAAACCCTCTGTAGGTCTGGAACTCTCCCTCTGTAGTTCCCTCCTCTTTCCAGTACTCTGCCCTACAAACTGCATCTTGGCTCTGCCAACTGTCTCCCCCCAGAGACTCCCAGGCTTTTCAGAATCACACCCCTGTCATAGTGCTACAGTGTAGAAGTCGCACAGTTAGCTCAGGCAGTTGTCGCTTTCTTGTTGGTTTTCCTTCTCTCAAGAATCACTGGCCCACTACTGAGGTAATACCCTCTGAATAATCTCCCCTTTGCTTAGTCTCTTAGGAGATCTCTCCTCTCTGGCTATTGGGAACAAGAACAATTTTGAGCCCTATATGAACTCCCAGGTTCTGGCTCCTGTCCAGCGTCTGAAAAACTTGGCAGCAGATCTTCTGTGCAGGTCTTTAGTTGTTCAAAACGGGGAAGGTAAATCCTGGTCCTGTCATTTCATTTTGGCCTGAGTGGAAATCTCGCTATTTAAATTTGCATTTACTAAATGCTAACAAGGTTGAGCATTTTTTGGTATGTATTTTTTTTTTTTGTAAAGATTTTATTTATTAATTTGACACAGAGACAGCGAGAGAGGGAACACAAGCAGGGGGAGCAGGAGAGGGAGAAGCGGGCTTCCCGTGTAGCAGGGAGCCCGATGTGGGGCTCGATCCCAGGATCATGACCTGAGCCGAAGGCAGATGCTTAATAACTGAGCCACCCAGGCGCCCCTTTTTGTATGTATTATATTCATTCCCAGTTGCTCTCTGTGAAGTTTTACATGTCTTTTGCCCATTTTATGTGAAGTTACTGTCTTTTTCTTACAGAATTCTTTAAGGACTTTTTCTTACGGACTGTGGATACTAATCCATTATTACGATTAGATGTTGTAAACATTTTCTCTCAGTTTGTGGCTTATTTTTTCACCTTTTTATTGATGCCCTTGGAAGAGCACAAGTTATGAATGTCTCCTCAACTTTGTAATATGAAAAGTTTCATAATACATAAAAACACAAAAATAGGGCGCCTGGGTGGCTCAGTTGGTTAAGCGACTGCCTTCAGCTCAGGTCATGATCCTGGAGTCCCGGGATCGAGTCCCGCATCGGGCTCCCTGCTCGGCGGGGAGTCTGCTTCTCCCTCTTCCCTCTCGTGCTATCTCTCATTCTCTCCCTCTCAAATAAATAAATTAAAAAAAAAATCTTTAAAAAAAAAAAACACAAAAATAATGAACATCCATATAACTTCCATCCAGATTTAACAGTCAATAACATTTTGTTGTTGAACAGTTTGTAAGTAAATTGAAAACATCATGACCTTTCACTTTTCAGTATTTCACCATGCATTTCTTAAAAAGCAAGTGTCCTGTATAACCACAATATTATTATCACACCTGAGAAAATTAACAATAAGGGTGCGTGGCTGGCTCAGTCGGTAGAGCATGCGACTCGATCTCAGGGTCATGAGTTGCAGCCCCACATTGGGCGTAGAAATTACTTAGAAAAGTAACAATAATCCCATAATATATAACACATAGTCTATAATTGAATTTCCCTGATTGTCTCAAGAATACTATTTTTAGGTGTTGATTTGTTTTTAAACCCAAACTCAAGGTTCATGCATTGCATGTTCTTGTCATTTTTATTTTCTTTCTTTTTTTTTTTTTTTAAAGATTTTATTTATTTGACAGAGAGAACAAGTAGGCAGAGAGGCAGAGAGAGGGAGAGGGAGAAGCAGGCTCCCTGCTGAGCAGGAAGCCCGATGCGGGACTCGATCCCAGGACCCTGGGATCATGACCTGAGCCGAAGGCAGCTGCTTAACCGGCTGAGCCACCCAGGCGCCTCATTTTTTTTTCTTAATCTAGAAGAGTTTCTTACCCATCCATCCCACCTCTTTTTTTTAATGACATTGACTTTTTGAAGAGTTCAGGCCAGAATATTTCATAGAATGTTTCAGATTCTGGGAATTATTTGATGGTATCTTCATGATGTCTTGTAGCTCTTCTGTTTCCTATAAACTGGAAGTTAGGTCTAAATGTTTGATTGGAATTAGGTTATATATTTTAGGCAGAAGTTTTTAAGTTGAATGTCAAATTTATTAGCCTTTCTCTGTGTGTTTTGTGCTTTTTGTATCTTGTTTTAAGAAATCCTTAATAAAGACATTCTATATTCTAAAAGTTGTAAGTAAAGCTTTGGATTTTTTTTTTAATTAAAAAAATTATTTGGAAATGGAAGAATGGTTTGGCACGAGTCAATCTATCATTGTAATTAAATGCATTAACAGAATAAAGGGAAAATAACTGATTATTTTATACATTTAGAAAAGATATTTGATAAAATTCAATACTCATGATTTTTAAGGTATAATAGTAAAGTTTTGTTTTTTTACATTTAAATCTTTAATCTACATTGTATGTGTGTATGTATATGGTGTGATACAATGAAAAAAATTACTTTTTTTAAAAAACATGGATACAACCAGTTGTCCAAAACCCCTTAGTAAATGGTTCATCTATTCCCTGTTGATCTACCCTCCCACTTCTGTCATACACATTTCCATATATAAGTGGATTTTGTTTCATGGGCTCTCTATTCCATCAGTTTACTGTTTATCCCACTACCAGTACCAAACATACATTTCTGTGACTATAGGAAGTCTTTAAGCAAGTCCCCTCACCTGTTTTATTAGTAATGCCTATGCCCTTGTTTTGTGCAATTTTGGAATCAACTTACCTGGTTTCCCAAATAATTCTGTTGGGATTTTAATTGCATTTGCATTCAAACAATAGGAACTTTCGTGGAAAAAACATCATAATATTGGATCTTCCTATTCATAAAAATAGCATAGCCCTCCAGTTCTTGAACCTTTTAGAATTTTCCTTATGAAGTTTTTGTTAGATTTACTCCTAGCTTCCGTACCTTTTATGAATAAGATTCTATTCTATTCTGTTCTATTATAAATTATATAGTATTTTTTTTGAAGATTTTATTTATTTATTTATTTGACAGAGAGAGCACAAGCAGGGGAATGGCAGGCAGAGGGAGAGGGAGAAGCAGGCTCCCGTGGAGCAGGAAGCTGGATACTGGGCTCCGTCCCACATGACCTGAGCCAAAGGCAGACACCCGCCTGAGCCACCCAGGCGCCCCTAAATAGTATCTTTTAAACATATGATTTTGTTTCCTGACCTATGAGGTCACACATTTCTCTCAACTTTTGATTTTGAGATAATTTGAGGTTTACAGAAACATTGCAAAAATGAAAATACGGAACGCTTTGCTAATTTTCATGTCATCTTGTGCAGGGTTCGTGCCGATCTCTGTTCCAATTCCAGTGTATGTGCTACTGAAGTGAGTACACAAGTTGTTTTTGATCACTGCCCTTAATATCCAGCCATTTTACAAAAGTCTTTTATTTAGAATTGGTCTCTAGGGTTTTTTGGGGTCTTTTATGTGGACGATAATGTTATTTGCAAATACATTTTTTTCTTTCCTCTTTCCCATTTTTATTTTATTTTTTTAAGATTTTATTTATTTATTTGAGAAAGAGAGAATGAGAGATAGAGAGCACGAGAGGGAAGAGGGTC